TCCCGGTGATATTAAATATTTTATTCCATCCGGGGTCGAATGCCGGATGTTCCCGGATCATCCAGGACGTTGCCGGCAGAGGTACGGATGTACCCCGGTTGTTCCCGGTCGTACCCCGGTCGTTCCCGGATCACCCCGGACGTCTACCGGGGCTCTGCCGGGATGTAAGTGAGACTGTAGCTTAAACGTATTAATCAAGCAATATTAATCTTTACTTTATAATATTTTGCAATTATGCATAGTCGGCTATTTTGAACATGCACAAAACAAACACCGGAGTTCGGCGTTCTCAGTACGTCCTGGACTAGAACTCCCTCAGGACCCCATGGTCGCTGTAGAAACCCAGTTAACACCCAACCACGTACTATGAACGTACCGTAGATGTAGCATAGTCTCCGCATTAATGCACATAAACTGTTTGACATATAACTGGCAACTCTACAGCGACCATAAGGCGTATACAACGTGGACAGATAGTTCTTGGTAGGATTATGACGTAGTTGTAGTCGCCAGCAGGATGCGGTATTGACCGCCATTATCACCTTAGAGCTGTAGTACACACCCTAAGAACGTACTGAATACGCCGTTAGCTCGCAAATAAACGTATTAAAAACGCCATGTTGGTGTGACCGGGATATAACCGGCTTTCCTGGAACCAGAAAGTGAAGTGATAGATTTTGCCTGGCCGCTAAATGTCGCACTTGACGTTAAATGTCGCATGGCTGATGCTAAATGTCGTTATGAACGCTAAATCTGACGGTAAATGTCGTGGTACGCATTTATATTTAAAGAACTCTTTGTGGCATGGCTTATTGCAGTTTTGACGAAATTGTATGCGTCATTTACTTGAAATATATAAGTTAATGGAAACTAACTTTTGTCATAAGATGAAATATAAATGCCTGCACATTTACACTTCACAACAAAAAATCTAAAATATGCTGCACTTAAAATGTACAGACAAAAAAGCTTAAAATTTTTCTTTTTAGTGTCAACACTTATTAAGTGTCTTCTCTCGACAAATAAAATGAGAGCACACGCTTTATAACAGGGAGTGAATGACCAATTTGATTAGCGTTATACTAACTTCGGACACAAAACATCTGTTATTTGTAAGGCAACAAAGACGTTCATATTCTGGAAAAAAAACAAAACAAAACCGTTTGACTGTTGATTATCGGTATATGCTTGTAAATATGCTTCCTTTCGTTCGAAATATTTAATATTTTTTGTATATGCAGTTGGATTACTAGTATAATGCACAGCCAGTGAGATTGAACGTGTTAAAATATTGCTATATGCTTCTAAACATGCTTCCTTTCGTTGCGAAATATTTAATATATAGAGGATATTGAATGAGTGTAAATTCAATACTGAATTTATTGCACGAGTTGAATGAAATTATATTATGCGATCCTCTGGCGAGCATATAATATTATTTTATTCAACTCGTGCAATAAATTCAGTAATGAAGTTACACGAATTTAGTATTCTATTTATCACATACCCAAAATAAAGACCGTTTAAGGTAAAATAAGAGTCATTTTTCATTGAAGCTTCTATATTATAACGCTAACATTTAGCGCGTCTTTACACTATGTTTGAATAACGCTAATGACGTCACGTCAAAATATATGCACAGCCGTGCAATACCATATTTACGAAGTCGCAAAATCGGCACAGGTGTGTGATAATTTTGTATATGCAGTTGGATTATACTGCACAGCCAGTGAGATTGAAATTGTGAAAGAAATAATCAAAAACTTTAAAAACAGACTGAATTTTGAACCAATGTTTGGAGACGAAGAATATATTGAGATAGCAGAACGATTCATTGTTAAATACAACTATCGTAAAGAAACTATCAATGTCTTCAGCGACAACTCAAGCTAATGAATTAGACTACGGAATACTCGAGCAACTGCAAGAAGATTACATGAGCATAATAAGGGCAGCTTTTGAAAAGTTAAAATCAAAAACATACAGAGTTCGGCGGGAAATTCCAGAAATTCAAAACCAATTGATATCCATGAATGAATATTTTGAAAATAATTGCAAGCAATGTTTAAATAACACTGAAGAATTGCTGACGGTCTTTGAAGCCTCGTCGATATCATGCACGTGATGAAAGATAACAGGAAATAGTAAAGCAAGTTATAAAGGTTGAAAACATTGCAGTAAACATAGAGACTACGAAGCCAAGTCAATGAGATATAAAATATAGACTGAATGAAGACTCGTATGTATCAGATTCAAATATTAACTGGTATTGAAAACATGAAGGAAGTATAATAGCTCTGTTAGCATCGGAAAGATGTTTAAACAAATACAGAACATCGAAGCTATTACGACAAATCTAAATTCTCTCCTCCATTACTCGTTCAGGTTTCCATCTTGTCTGGAAGCCAAGTCAATGGGATATAATGACAGCGGTACATATAGACTGAATGAAGATATTGACGTTTACTATGACCAAACTACAGATGAAGGGGGTTGGACTGTGTTCCAAAATAAAATTAATGGTGAGGAGAATTTCATACGCGATTGGAACGATTATAAGAAAGGCTTTGGTGATTTAAATGGGGAATTTGGCTTGGGAATGATCGTTTAAGCTTTCGGATGGAGTTCGTGAACTGAGAGTAGATATAGAAGATTTTCTTGGGAACACTGCGTATGCCAAGTACAGTAAATTCATGATATATCCGGAAAAAGACAAATACAAACTTGAGGTTAGTGGATACAGTGGAACAGCCGGGGATTCTCTATCGTATCATAATGGAATGTGTTTTCAACAGTTGATTACGACAATGACAAGAAACCAGGGAATTGAGCCTATCTTATGCTAGGTGCTTGATGGTATAAGGAGTGCCAATATTCCAATCTGAACGGTCAATACTACAATAAGGCCGACAAAGTCACTGAGACCGGGATCAACTGGTAATCCTGGAAAAATAGTCACATGTGTTTAAAGAGGGTAGAAATGAAGTTTCGTTGAGCATATTATCACAAAGAACATATACTTTTCCGCATTTATTGAACGATACATGTATTTCATGGAAATATATTTATTACATGCTTTTCGGTGGTTTATAGAAATATATCAGTGATATAAAACTGGTAATTTCACTGTTTGAAACAGTGAAATTACCACTTTGATAATTTCACTGTTTAGAATTTAAGCCCCTTACGTTGTTTCAGTGAAATACCAGCGTGCACAGAACTGGGTACCAACTTAATGACGTGACGTCGTAAATGACGTCACGTTGTATTATTATTTGGCGCGCTTTTCATTCAGTATTAGGTTAAATGTATTTTTAAAACGTTTCTTTGCATATAATAAAAAGAAAATTTGTTTAGTTTAGTGTAAGATCGAAATATATTTCACCTTGTGAACACCAAAAGTTCATATTTCACTCGTGGCTGCGCCACTCGTGAAATATACCTTTTGGTGCTCACTCGGTGAAATATATTCCGATCTTACACTGAACTAAACAAATATCCTCTATATATTTAGGAAGTTAAATGTTGTCTATGGTTGATTGTATCATAGTTATATATTTGTAAATGTAGCATGATTTTATTAAGACTAACAATTATTGTAAGAAACTGCATTTTGATATGTACAGAAGACTTTATCTTATAATAATTAGGCATATAAATAACATCATGATGACGTCATAGATGGCCAAAAAGTAAAATTTCCTCGAACATCTGTTTTCCAACCAATTGGTCACCTTTGTTTACTTAAATATGTTTTTAAGATACTGAAGACCTCATGTTAAATGTTATGGATATATAAACAGAATACTAAGAGCCCTTCCAATACCAGAAAACACATAATCAAAGCGCTGAAAGTACTGGTACTCGTTATTGGAGGCTAGAAGATGCACTAAGATGTTCTCTAATAGATGAACCAGAAGCATTCAAAGGAATTCCATGAATATAAAGCTACATTATTACAACCGGCGGCGCTGCTCTCATGAATATTCGACAGTTTCCGTAAATCGTGAAGAATGTTTTTGGTACAAAGCAGGCTGGGATAATGATACTGGTAATGGTAATGCAACCAACTATAACCCTTTATGCAAGATAAAATTACTCCTTGACACTTGCCTTTGCACATTAGTACAAATTTGGAGTTTTCATCGTTAAATTATGTCAAGCTGCAATGTGCCAAGTTAAAAATTAAAATGTCGTGTCATTTCGTTATGCTGTTATGCCAGCAAGGGCATGCCTTTCAAGCCTGAGGGGAAGAGATAAGTCTTTGCGATAAAACCCCCGACTGGCATACATATTATAAGAAAGGGAGACAATAACAGGAAATCCGAAAGTCTCGGCAAGTTGTAACTTCTGTCAACGCGCAGGAAAATCGAAATACTAAGTCCTATCATAGCATTTACTTACTGAACCTTGAGAACATTTTTAATCTGTATGGTGGCTGATTTGGTACACTTGGTGCGTTTCATTGCCGAAAGCAACAACACAATCTTTATCGTTATCGCCTTTTTGTCTTGTCGCATTATGGCGCGTAGTCGCACTCACTTTCGTCTTGTGTCTCTGTTGCTAGCGAAGCACGCCAAACGACGCGTTGTCGTGCGGCGTGTTGTCGCGATGTCACAATGTCCCTCGGCACAAATCGAAGGATTGGCTATGAGACAAGCGACAAGGAGCCCATGCGCCTCACGACATGGCACCGTTTGGCGTGCTTCGCTTGCGACAGAACGACAAGACGACATTGCGACACCGCGCCGTTTTGCGCGTTTCGCTAGCGACAAGGCAAAAAGGCGATAACAATATAGGTGGTGTTGTCGCTATCGACAACGCATCGCGCAAAGTGTACCAGTTTAGCCTCAATAATATACAAATAGCCAACATGACAGTACGAAAATTCACCATTTGACGCTTTGTCGTGCTTTTCTTGACGACAACACGACCCACAAAAGTGTTCCAAATTGGCCACCATAAGAAATTGATCTTGCCCTAGATACGTGACTTTATACAATGTAATATAAAGTAAGTTTGAACACTGACCTCCTTTCGTAAGATAAGATTGATATGAATGGTTGACAATAATGCCGACCATTTTGCTTAGTATGATTTACATCGGTAAGTTATCTTTTCAAAGTTATTTTATTATTTTTATATTAAACACCAGCATCAAACATACAACACATTGTTAAATGTTAACGCTTTTTCAATTTAATAAAATAAGATTTGCGTATTAAAAGGACTCATCTAAGGCTTTTGGACAAGACGGGTCTGGAAAATATCTTTCAATTTTCATGATTCATTTGATGCAATTACAAATACAAAATGTCAGATCATTTGCTCATTTCGTTTTGTACAGAATGATTATTCTAACTGTGAAAAACGACCCAAAATTGAAAGGCGTTGAGACGCTTTTCGCTCAAATCGGGCTAAGTATAGCACAAAAATTCGATTTTTGTGTGTCAATTCTTTATATTCGTTTGTATTATCATTTTATTATTTACCTGCAGCAGTCATGTAACAGATACATTATAAACATACACAAATGTGTAGTCAGAAAGCAAAAATATATTAGTAATACACATAAACGTGTAGTCATGTAACATATATTTTAAACATAAACAAATGTGAATCAAGTTACGTAGATATAATAAATGCGCAGAAACTAATGTGCGAAATTATATAACTGTTATATAAAACACGTTTGCAATTATTATTATTTTAGGGTTGTTGAGTGGAACAATACTGCTTCTGACCTCAAGTGTTAATGGATTTCTTGGTAAGGTCAAATGGTGTTACGTACAGTATAGACCATTGTCTTATATATACTTTGATAAGCAAAACCTAAAATACTTAAAGTGCACGCTTTTAACATTCTTTTAAACATTTTATTAATTAAAGGTTGTGATGTGTTTTTTATGTAAAACGCTCATAAATGTTAATAATCCACTTGTTATAAGGCTCCATGAATCTATTTATGGAGATTATTTGATAGACTTCTAATTTGTTTATAGCAACCCGCATCATGACGTTCAAGAGCTTTTATTTTCATTAACATCATTTTCTTGTCAATAAAAGAATTGTAATATGTATAAAGGACGCGATTCCAGAGTTTACGACAATGCTTGTCAAACCCCTGGATTACTGCTGAAGATTATAGAAGTCATAATGGAAAGTGAGCTAATTGGTTTCAACTAGTTTGTACTAGTAATTAACTTCGGTAAATGACCGGGGGAAATACTAGTTGCAGGGACTATTTTAAAGTTTTAGATTATCAAGCCCCTGGTACGGGATTCGCCCTGCAGGAAAAATCACAGTGTCATATCTCCGCTAAGCGCTCCCATTAATCCCCTACTATTTTGGCACCACAGAAAAGTACGGCCATTCATGGATATACGGAATATGAAAGCTTGACTAAAGGTTCTGTATGTTTTCAGTTAACAACCATTTGCCTCAGCCGTATGTATGTAATTTTGAGCAGTCACAATGTGGATTTAACGGAAGTGTCTCTATGCACGGAATGGAATGGGCACGGCTAAATGTTGCTCTTGGTCATACTTTCTTGGATACAGACAACACTTTTCATACTAAAGGTCAAGGTAAACTTGAAATCCAAACTGTTTTCTTGTTATTTCTATGCTCGTCGCCTTGTCAGTCCGCCCGTTCGTTCGTCCGCTTTCACGGGACAGTAATAATGTGGCTAGAGGGACAATAGGTATCTGTTCTTTCACTTGGATGTCGTTCATTCCGTAATGTTTTTATGTGTATTTTCTTTTGTGTGACTAAAAAGAACAATAGAGAGAACAATAGAGTAGCCACATAATTACTGTCCCATTAGAATATCCGCCCGTTCGTCCGTCACACTGTTTTACGAAGAAAAACTAGAAAAGTATTGAAGGAATTTGATTTAAACTCCACAAACTGCTAGAGATTATTGAGAGGAAGTGCAGTATCCAATAATTATAACTCGTAACTGTTTTCTAAACTATCAAAAGATATAGATGTACACGTACAGTGGCAAAGAACCATAACTGCTTTAAAAAATCAAAATCATACTTCAAAGTATTCAAAGGATTAGACAGATACGAGTGAAATGAGGTATAGCATCAAACCAGATATTTTTGAATCATCTCCCTTTATAATACATAAAAAATGTTAAATAATTTTTGTCTATCAATAATATCTCATTGAAACTTCACACATTTACATAGTCTAAATACTAAAGCTATATAACTCTGCATTACTTAGTTTTTTTATTTATCTCCCTTTGTAATATTTAATAATGTTTGTCAGGAGACTAACTTGAAGAACCAATAATGAAATTTGATAAAAAAAAATTCATGCTGTGATAGAGATTAGTAAGTCAAAGAACCATAACACTAGTTCCTCTACATAATGTACATTTTGAATTATGTCAATTTATGACACATAAAAAGTATTGAACCATAGAGAGAAACCCTATAATGCTGTCTTGTTTAATTTTTTAATTATCTCCCTTTATTATACTTAATAACGTTGTTACTTGTTTGCTTATAATTTGTTACCAATGTCTTTCATATACATTGGTTAGCCTTTTTTGTTCACTTGGGTCAATGTACTAGTGATTAAACTTTAAAAGATCCTGTATGTTGTAATTAAGGATGTAACAGCACTTGAAATATATTATATGTACATAATTGTATCATAGTTTGGAGACCTTTCTGTTGAAAATGTGTCGGGGTTAAATCGTATACATATACATGCACAGTGCGTTAACTGGAGTGCGGGTATTAGTTACTTGACTCCAGAGCATGCCCATTGATTGGCTCATTTTTGCTGGGGTTTACATATTGTGACGGCAGAGAAAGGGAAAGCGACAGAAATGTCATATTCAGATGTTCGTTCATTGGTTCATTTTTGCCGGGGTTTCATATTGTGACAACAGGGAACGTGCTTTTATGTTTGACTATGATACAAAATAGAAAGAACACCAAAACACCCGGCAATCTGATTAATACTCGGGGGCTACGCCCCTCGTACAAATCAGATAGCCTCGTGTTTCGGTGCTCTTTCTATTACTTATTCTTCTAAAACAATTTCAACAACAAAGAATATGTTAAATATGTACTGCAAATGGTTATTTGCATTATAAGTAATCATTAAAATCTATGCATTTATTTATTATGATAAGACTTTATCGAAAATAGATTTCTTATCACCTCCCTTTATTTACATGAAATGTAAATTCGGTAAAACAAATGCTTTGTTGAACTTACAATATTGATAAATCTTCATTTGGGCTTCAGATTTATGATATAAAACCATAAACAAATTTGAGTTACAGGATCTTTTAAGTTTTTTCTACAGCTTTTGTTTATTTACTAATGTCTTTCATATTTAGTAGGTAGATACTTTGTGTCGTCCTCTAAGGTCAAGGACTTAAGGTCACCGGTGCAAAAACTTCTTTTATACTTTTGTTTTGCAACCTTTATTTATTGATTGGTGTGTTTCTTATAAAAAGGTTAAGTACAATCAAAGCACAGAAGGCGCTGAATTTGTTTGGGTCTCGGTGAGGGTTGTGAGATTATAAACCAATTTGTTTTTTTGTATAGTGCCACCAATGCTTTCCAGCGTTTTAATTGCAGTAAATTGGCTGTAAGACTAATTGCAACACTGATATTCAATTCAATGTTTATTTGACTTCAACAATTTGAAAAAAAAAGTTGCCTTAACTGGGATTTGAACACCAGACCTCTCGATTCCTAAGGGAGCGTGCAAACCCCTCGGCCACGGTGAAGTTATATGTTAACGGCCTGAAGAAAACCATATTATTCTAAATTAGGGTTTGTAACTCTTATTATTTCGACTGTTTAACACAGATGTAAATAATCATGGAGCTTACAATAAGCATGTATATCTATAAATAGAAATCTTCGAACATTCGGGAACTATTTTGCTGGAAAAATTAATGCGCCTGTCATTTGACCATCTTTACGCAGTGATCTTCCCTGAATTTTTCGGCGTATGTGTTCACATAAAGGGAAGTAACCACTTCAAAAAGCGGACTACTTTCGGCATTTGCAATTAACAGCATCAGGGTCTGAAATTTCGCTTCCATTATTTGTTTGGTCTGATGACCCAAACAAATAAAATGGAGGAGAAATAGACATTTGTGACAAGGTCAAGGTTACCAGACTGTTGAAAATAAATGTTTACAATTTTACTCATGCAGCCTTTATTTAATGACTTATTATCTTAATATTTTGTGTGAAGATATCTTTGGTTGTCTTCCAACTTTGGCTGGAATTAGTGAGCACTTTGGTCAAGGTCAGTGACCTTAACCAAAGAGCTAAACTTTATTTTTACACTTTGCTCTCACTTATGTGCAATGTATACATTGGCAGATGTTCAAAATCAGGAAGTACGAGTAGTTTAATGTATAATCAGCGTCATTTTCAAAGACTTAATGTAAAATTGTATATTTTCTACTGATATTGTTTTCTCTATATCTGTTTAAGATTATGTTCATATTTATATAACAGGATATGTGATGTTCGCCAACGGCAAGGATAGCACTCATTCCGGAGATATTGTCAAATTCGAATCAAAGCCATTGAAGTTTCCGCCAAGATCGCACATATCAGTCGGGTTTTCGTACATCTTCTCGGAGGCTCACACCCATCCGATGACTTTGTCTGTTTACCTAACATCTGGAGGACAATCACACACACCTAATTGGGTCAAAACTGGTACAAATACATGTATATATTCACAGAAAAAAAGTCAAAAATGAAAGTCATAAAGCTAAATGCCACACTATTACAACACTATTATGTTCAATACTCATTGAATGATTTGAATAAATTATATTATGCAAGCCTCTGGCGAGAAAAAATTATTTCAATCAACGAGTTCAAAATAAATTTAGTAATGAACTTCATTGACGCGCCTTTATGCTATGTTTGGGTAACGCAAAATATATGCATGACCGTACAATACGATTTTTACGGAGTCGCAAAAGCGGCACTGGTATGTGATAAAGCAGATTACTTACAGACATAGGAACATCTGTGAATTGTAACTGAGTGTCAGTAAAAAGCTTTTTCGATGCACCTTTAACATTAACATATTTTTTGTCAACTGATTTCTTTTACAAATGGTAGTTTAAAGCCTGAATTGTGGATAAAGGTACAATATGAATAAAAATGATAATAAAAGAATGAGCTTGATATTTTGTCATGTTGTACTTCAAGCACTAAATTTTTTTGTTTTAAAATGACCTATATGATTATTATAACTTCTTATTAAACTTTTAGTTCTTAAAATCACCAATTAGTTCTTACTTATTCCAAGTATGAAAATTAAGGCTTTTTAGATTGACATTTTGTTATAAAATTTAGTATTATATAGAGGATTTTGAATGAGTGTGGGTTCAATACAAAAGTTATTGAATGAGTTGAATAATATTGTTTTTATTCTACCGCATAATATTCTTTATATTCAATAATTTCCAAAAAAATGGTATTAATCTACAAGAATATTATATTTCATTTATCACATACCCTAACTAAGAGCTGTTTTACAGTGAAAAACACTCTTTTTTCAGTAACGCTAACATTCTGTTTGTCAATACGCGATGTTTGTATGTCACGTCAAAATATATGCACGTCCGTTCAATAACGTTTTAACTATTACGGAGTCGCAAAAGCGGCACGGGTATGTGATCACTGATAACTACGGTTGATTTAGGTTTATTTTCAATCTAGGTCACTTGTCTTCATTGAGACCTCGTTGGCATAGAGTTTGTTTAGGAACATCAATTGTAAGCGATGACGTCACTGTTGTCTTTGAAGCGAAAGTATCATATAATTCAAATAACGGAAATCTTGCAATTGATGACGTCGTAATTGAACCGGGAACCAGTTGTCATTTGTACAATCACCTGTCTACGCCGCCGCCCTCTATAACTACGACTACGCATTCTAGCGCAAGTATGCTCCAATATCAAATTGTGTTAGTTTTGTCCGATACTTATACATGCACTAATTTTATTTGTTTCATTGCAAAAAGCTTTTCACTATTTATAGTTATAAAACACAGATAATTCATGACAGCGGATTTCAACAAACTGTTCACTTAATAAACTTTTTTTCCTAAAGAATTTTCAGAAATACACTATAAAATCTATAGATAGTGAATAACAATGCCATTATCTGGAAAAAGTAGATATACAAACTTGATGTAATTTGCTGTGTTTTAATTTGTAGATGTATCTTCAGTGACTTGTAACTTTGACTTACCAAGTATTTGTGGTTACCTTAACAGAAATTCTGGCGACAACTTCAACTGGTTAAGACACCAGATGGCTACACAATCGGTGGGCACCGGACCAAACAGTGATCACTCATCGGGGAGAGGTTCATCATCTGATTATTTTTACTATTAGTTTTGATGTTACAATTTTAAAGTATAAAACCTGAACTCCGTCTGATAATCCGTCCGGAAAAAATCATCCGAATAATTTGTCGTCCTTATGTGTACTGTCTTGTTGGCTTACAGCTGGCACTCTGATGAGATAGTTGTAACAGCTTCTTTCATTGTGAATTACATGTGAAATATTATTTCTTTACATACACATAAAATAAAGAGGAAGTATGTTTCCCTTAGTAAAGCACTTGAAATTCCGGACCTATCTACCGTTATACATTTTCATTATGAAGAAATTTACACACTAATTAAATCAAAAATGATAATAACTATATTTATGATGTACACTTTGTACCATCTTTATCTAGAACAAAATTACAATGTTTTAACAAGTTGTTTTACCCTTTAGGTTTCTACATGTATATAGAAACATCTTCACCCCGAGTTAAAGGTGACATTGCAAGAATAGAATCACCGTCATTCACCGCCGCCGGACACCAGCGGTTGACATTTTGGTATAATGTTTATGGTAGAACCATTGGAAGTCTGAAAGTTTATCTGGACACAAATGATGTACTAGGATCTCCAGTTTTTGTCCAGTCTCAAGGTGAGATTTAAAACAACCTATAACTAACTAAATGATTCTGGTCTAATTATAAACATGTTACAGTAAACTTCACTTATAGCGAATGCGGTTATAGCGAACTTCCGGTTATTAGGAACAATTTATTTGGCCCGAATTTTGCCCTTCTTTATTCTATATAAAAAGATACGGTTATAGCGAACACGGTTATAAGGAATTATCGCATATAAGGAACTCATTTCTTAGTCCCAATTTAGTTAAAGGTACAGAAAATTACACTTTTAAAACAAAGTTATCGGCTATCCGTAAATAGATACCACAATTTCAACTTTTGTTTTCATTGACATGGATTGAAACCCGGCCGAATGTACTGTTTATTGTTGTATGTACTTCAATACATCTATTTAAATGAATTTGTATAGCAGTACGCACTAGTTTTCTGTTTAGGATATTTTTAGCATGACTTCTTTTCAACAAGATAAAACGGTTATTCCTTTTATTCTATTTCTCCTTTCCTAAATAGTTTTGCTCGAGTAAAATAATTATGATCATTCATAATTGGTTTTCAACATAAGATTTCACGCATCCTTGCAAGCATAATCCTTTGACAACTACAAAGTAAGCTTGATGAAATGAAAAGAAATCTATAACATTCATTAGTTCATTAAAATGTAATAGAAGATAATCAATATAAAAGGATGGAAAAATAAAAAATCTTGTTTATTCTTATTCATGGAAAGAAAACGAAAAGCACTGAGTTTAGAAACAAAATATGATATTTTATGAGAAATTGAGAAAGGGTTTAAAACTAAAACTGAAATAGCAAAGGATTTTCAAATTCCAAAAAGTACGCTTCGGGGTATTGTGTCTTAAATGGAAATGAATGACTATTCTTTCTTAATCAAATGCTCTTCAAAATGGCGGACGATGGTAAACAATCAGTTCGTTATATGTAAATCTGTTCGCTATAAAATCTCCCGATAATAGGAACTAATTCGCTATATGCTTACAAGGAACTCCGGATATAAGGAACATATTTTGAATGTCCCGATGAGTTCGTTATGAGCGGAGTTTACTTTAGTACGCTCTCGGGTTTTGTGTCTAAAAAGAAATAAATGACTATTTTTTCTTAATCAAATGCTGTTCAAAATGGCGGACAATGATAAACAGTCAGTTCGTTATATGTAAATCTGTTCGCTATAAAAACTCCTGATACAAGGAACTTATTCGCAATATGCTTATAAGGAACTCCGGATATAAGGAACATATTTTGAATGTCCCAATGAGTTCGTTATAAGCGGAGTTTACTGTATGCGTTTTATCAACATATACAAACCCGTTGTTTACAGTATATATACACCATATTGTAATCAAAGCACAGAAGGTGCTGAATTTGTTTGGGTCTCAGAATGTAAGAAAGGTGCAGGTTGTGAGATTATATGTATAGTGCCACCAATGCTTTCCAGCGTTTTAATTGTAGTAAATTGGCTATAAGACTAATTGCAACACTGATATTCAATCCAATGTTTATTTGACTTTAACAATTTGAAAAAAAATGAGTTACCTTTACTGGGATTTGAACTCCAGACCTCTCGCTTCCTAAGCGAGCCCGAAAACCCTTCAGCCACGGTGAATTTATATGTGAACGGGCTGAAGAAAACCATATTATTCTAAATTAGGGCTTGTAACGACTTTAACTGTTGTTTAACACAGATGTAAATAATCCTGGAGCTTACTATAAGCATTTATATTTATAAAAAATCAAAGTGCTGCAAGTTCTGTGGTATTTTCTGATCTTTGCAATCTAAATCGTACTGTATATCTGTATGCATTTTCCTGTATAGGTTTATTTTTATGTATTATAATTCATTTTGCAAGGCACCAGAGTTTGATACATACGGAATTCTGCATAACTAGAGTTGCATCAAAATATCATTTATGTTCATTTTTTACGACAGTTACACTTTATCCTTGCATATCATGGCTACTTCCTTAACAAAAACACTTAAAAAAGAATTTATCAGAAAAAAAATTTTCCTCGACTGGGATTCGAACTCGAGTCCTCTCACACACTAAGCGAGCGCGTTACCACTGTACCACGAAGAAGTTATACACAGAATGTCTGAATAATATCAAGTCATTCTAAATTGAGAACTTCCATTGCATTTCGGGTTTGTAATCCTTATTGATTTCGAGGTATTTTGTTCAGGGTAAACCTGTTGTTTAAAATTGAATTAATTTTTTTAGCGAAAATCCTCTCGCCCAAACAGTACGACATGTAGAAGCTATATATTCCACTACTCGGTTTGTGTAGTATTCGGTTATAAATAGTATTTTCATTGATAAAATCATATTCATCCGCGTAATTTGTGATTGTGCATTTATTGACAATTCTATAAGCCAACGCTATTGTTTAACTTTAAATGCGTTGTAATTTGTTGGATACTTGTAACAAAATAAAATATTTCTTTCTTTTAAATCGCTAGTTTTAAGCTGTTTTGAGAACTACTTGTTGTTAGGTTTGTTGTAAACTTCTGTGTCAGAGATTGAATGTCCGCTTTGTATTTAGTTATTTTCGATCAGAAAATACAATAAAACAATATTAGAAACCTTCGACCATTCGGGAATTACTTTGCTTGAAAATTGATGCGCCTGTCTTTGACCATCTTTACGCAGTGATCTCCCCTGAATTTTTCGGCTTTAGTGTACATACAAAAGGGAAGTAACCGCTTCAAAAAAGTGGACTACTTTCGGCATTTGCAATTAAGAACATTATACTCTGAAATTTCGCTACCATTATTTGTTTGGTCTGACGACCCAAACAAATAAAAATGATGATATGAAACATAGCGTGTTATAATCATGTATGGATGTTGGCCCATTTGAAACGTCAGCAAGCACTCTAAGAATATAAGTCTTATCGACAAAATTTATGGACATAGCTTTGATATTCCGACATGTCATCTACAAGTATTTTGTGTGTATGTTTGTATGTTTTTTTAATGTTAATCTAAATCAGGTACTAACACATCGACTTGGCAGCGGGAATGTATACAAATTACCAAAATGTCCTCAAATATGAAGATAGTTTTCGAGGGTGTGGTTGGCAGTGGTTACCAAGGTGATATAGCTATAGATGACGTCATTTTGGATCATGGTGACTGTAAGAATGACGTGGACCCAACGATACCAACAGTGACTTTAAGTAACCACACATTACATTTATCTTCTAGTTTTTCAGCTTTCATATACATTTGTAAAACGTTCAGACGATAGGAATAATTCTATCGATTCCTTATACCTTTATAGAATAGAATAGAGTAACTTTAATTTCCAATCAAGGGGTCATGTTAAATGGCATATAAATTACAATAATAATGAGATCAACGATCCAATAAAGATGTTAAAGAAAATAAGGCCAATACCGAAAAACAGAACAAAACAAAACAAACATTTAATAACCTAAGTTTTGCTCACTAGACTTATTTACGGAACATCATCACATAACATGATATTTAAGTACACAATAACTGTATTGTATTGTCTTATTGCCTCAAATACTTTTCAGATATTAAATTAAATGTATTAATATATAAATGTGTATTGACAGATTTTGGTCACTGGCTGTCGTGGGGTGTATTTATATATAAATGTGTATTGACAGATTTTGGTCACTGGCTGTCGTGGGGTGTATTAATATATAAATGTGTATTGACAGATTTTGGTCACTGGCTGTCGTGGGGTGTATTAATATATAAATGTGTATTGACAGATTTTGGTCACTGGTTGTCGTGGGGTGTATTAATATATAAATGTGTATTGACAGATTTTGGTCACTGGTTGTCGTGGGGTGTATTAATATATAAATGTGTATTGACAGATTTTTGGTCACTGGCTGTCGTGGGGTGTATTAATATATAAATGTGTATTGACAGATTTTGGTCACTGGTTGTCGTGGGGTGTATTAATATATAAATGTGTATTGACAGATTTTGGTCACTGGCTGTCGTGGGGTGTATTAATATATAAATGTGTATTGACAGATTTTGGTCACTGGCTGTCGTGGGGTGTATTAATATATAAATGTGTATTGACAGATTTTGGTCACTGGCTGTCGTGGGGTGTATTAATATATAAATGTGTATTGACAGATTTTGGTCACTGGCTGTCGTGGGGTGTATTAATATATAAATGTGTATTGACAGATTTTGGTCACTGGTTGTCGTGGGTGTATTAATATATAAATGTGTATTGACAGATTTTGGTCACTGGCTGTCGTGGGTGTATTAATATATAAATGTGTTTTGACAGATTTTTGGTCACTGGCTGTCGTGGGGTGTATTAATATATAAATGTGTATTGACAGATTTTGGTCACTGGTTGTCGTGGGGTGTATTAATATATAAATGTGTATTGACAGATTTTGGTCCCTGGCTGTCGTGGGGAGTATTAATATATAAATGTGTATTGACAGATTTTGGTCACTGGTTGTCGTGGGGTTCATGGAGTAGTTGTTCACACACATGTGGTGTTAGTACCAAACATCGTACCAGACAGTGCTCTAGTACTATATGTGATGCTGGACAAAACAGTCAAACATTGCTGTGTCATACAAATACATGTCCAGGTAACATATTCATCAGATATTACACGATAATCTCGTTAAGTAGCCTTTAACATAAACATTACCATTATTTCTTTCTAAATTAGATAGAACACATCTTTTTTTAACGTAAAATGTAATTATTCTGTATTTATTTAAAAAAACCGATGTCGTTGCTTTTTTGAGCACTGGCCAAATCCTCGGTTCTTATATTAACTAGCACTGGCTAAATCCTCTGTTATTATATTTACTAGCACTAGCCAATTCCTCGGTTCTTATATTTACTAGCACTGGCAAAATCCTCTGTTCTTATATTAACTAGCACTGGCCAAAATCCTCTGTTCTTATATTATTTGCACTGAAAAATCCTCGGTTCTTATATCAACTAGCACTCGGCAAATCCTCAGTTGTTGTATTTCTAGTACTCGCCAAATCCTCGGTTCTTATATTTACTAACACTCGCCAAATCCTCGGTTGTAACATTACCTATAACTGGTCAAATCTTCGGTTCTTATATAAACAAGCAATAGACAAATCTTCAATTCTTATATTTACAAGCACTGGCTAAATCCTCGGTTGTTATATATTTACTAGCACTGGCCAAATCCTCTGTTCTTATATTTATTAGACTTCGCCAAATCCTTGGTTGTTTATATATAAAACACTCGCCAAATCCTTGGTTCTTATATTTACTAGCACTGGCGAAATCCTCGGTTCTTATATACTAGTATTGGCAAAATCTTCGGTTCTTATATTTCTAACTTTGACCAAGTCTTCGGTTGTTATATTTACTAGTACTGGTCAAATGCTCGGTTGAAATATTTACTAGCACTGGTCAGATCCTCGTTTCTTATTTTTAGTAGCACTGACAAAATCCTCGGTTCTTATATATACAAGTTCTGTCTACATCCTCAGTTCTTATATAAACTAGCACACGCCAAATCCTCACTTCTTATATTTACTGCCACTCGCCAAATCCTGGTTGTTATATTTACTAGCACTGGCCAAATCCTCGGTTCTTATAATAACTAGCACTGGCCAAATTCTTGGTTGTTATATTTTACTAGCACTGGCCAAATCCTCGCTTATAATATATATAGCACTGGCCAAATCCTCGGTTGTAACATTACCTATAACTGGTCAAATTCTCGGTTGTTATATTTACTAGCACTGACCAAATCCTTAGTTGTAATCTATAGCACTCCAAAATCCTCGGTTCTTATATCTACTAGTACTGGCTAAATCCTCTGTTCTTATATTTATTAGCACTCGCCGAATCCTTGGTTGTTTTAATGAAAAGTACTCGCCAAATCATCGGTTCTTATATTTACTAGCACTGGCGAAATCCTCAGTTCTTATATTTACTAGCACTGGCTTTAACCTTGGTTCTTAGATATATAAAAGTACTGGCTAAATCCTCTGTTCACTTGCCAAATATATCTACCAGCACTGGCCAAATCCACGGTTGTTATATTTCATGCACTGGCCAAATCCTCGGTTGTTATGTTAACTAGCACTGGCCAAATCCTCGGTTCATATATATCTAGCACTGGCCAAATCCTCGGTTGTTATATTTCTAGCACTGGCCCAATTCACGGTTGTTATATTTCTAGCACTAGCCAAATTCTCGGTTCTTATATTACCTAGCACTGGTCAAATCCTCGGTTATTATATTTACTAAAACTGGCCAGATCCTCAGTTCTTATATTAAGTAGCACAAGCCAAATCTTCGGTTATTATATCTGCTAGCACTGGCTAAATCCTCGGTTGTTATATTTCTAGCACTGGCCAAATCCTCGGTTCTTATATTACCAGCACTGGCTAAATCCTCTGTTATTATATTTACTAGCACTGGCCAAATCCTCGGTTCTTTTATTCACTTGCACTGGCTAAATCCTCTGTTATTATATTTACTAGCACTAGCCAAATCCTCGGTCCTTATATTACTAGCACTGGCTAAATCCTCTGTTATTATATTTACTAGCACTGGCCAAATCCTCGGTTCTTTTATTCACTTGCACTGGCCTATTCCTAGGCTGTTATACTTGTACCTTCTATCGTTGGTCAAGGGCACTCTTGTCTTATACTTATCAGCATGGAATTAAAATGGTACTTCTCCATTTAGTGTTAGTCAGTGAATAATTATGGTCCCTGTTTTTACACTAACTAGCGTGTGTCAATTTTAGGAATTTTCAAAATTAGGAAATATAAGGCTAATATGAAGTTCACCACGACATTATGGACAAAAAACAAGGCCATTATGCAAAAAGTACGGCCTTTTTGAGAAAGCTCGGCTATTATGAGAATGGAGAATTTTGATTGGTTCTCCAGCTCGGCCATTATCAATTTTTTTTAATCATTGAAAAAAAAACTCGCCATTTTGAATTGCTGGAAGGTAGGTTTCCGAGACATTTTTAATACTTGAAATACCTCACAACAACGGAATTTTACATTAGTAATTTTTTGTTCACTAACTTTTTAGATTATGTGTAATTAATTAATAAAATTGTCAATAATTAAGTGATTCATAATTTCCTTGTTACTGGGCTTTAGACTGCCTTTGGCCCTAGGCTAATACACTGTGCATATCCAGTAACGCAGGAATGTGCAATTAACGTTAAAGTAACGCCGAAACATCTGTGCAACGCTTTTGCCAAAAACGAATAACACAGTAAGTAAACGCACCAAAATATTTTATTCTAAATCAAATTTACAGAAATGGATTAGCGCAAACGACATTATACTTTAACGAGCATTACATTTTTTTCCCAGGAATATGTTTACTTAATCATTCGTGAGAAAGACAACCTGATAACCGTTTTGAAGGTGACTTTTGTGTTTCGTCAATTTTAATACATTTAAAACTTTTTTTCATATTCTGTATACTTAGCCATTTATCAAACTACTAGTGCCGTATAACAATAGGAGTAAGCTGGTAAAATAGGATTTAGCTACTTTTAATTGCCATTGTTTCAGTGCTTCATTCACAAACCGGCGTTACCTCGTAGAAATAGTGTCAATTACGTTTTATCTGCTAAATTAATTGTAATATGACACGAGTAGATTGGAAAATGTTTGATAAATATACATTTTCATTGAAATATTTTGATGAGGTTTAAAGTATAATGTCTCAGCAACCGTATGCGCTAACTCATTTCTTCCAGTTTGGTGTACAATAAAAAATGTTGGTCCATTTACTTATCGCGGTGCTCGTTTTAACGACTGAATTGCACAATTTTGCGTTACTTTTGCACAATTCCTGCGTTATTTGCCCATTCCAGCGTTACTGGATATACACGGTGTAATATGACATATAAGTGTTCAGCCTAAAAACAAGGCCATTTTGAAAACACTTAATCATTAACATTATAATACTAACGGCACTTTATTGTACTTACTATCGTTTGTGTGTGAATTATAACGGCACTCATGTTTTACACTTACTAGCGTTACTTATAGGGAATAATGCCAATGTTGACAGTCATGTTGTACATTTATCCAGTCAAAATTAGTGACATTTTTCTCTAAAACATCTAGCGCTGGCCAGGAAATTGTAATGTAGTCTACAATCTTAACTTGTGTACCAGATTATATTCTGTATTAAATACTAAATCATACACATGTATTATAACTAAAATTCTGACCAGATATGATAAGATAAAAAGATGATATGTCATATCAAGATATATGCGTTTTCTTTCCATCCGTTAATCTTTCAAAATAAAAAATAGATTCAGGTCACTGGCTGGAATGGGGCTCTTGGAGTTCTTGCTCCCATACATGTGGCTTCAGTACATCACATCGCACGAGAAATTGTTCAAGTAGTACGTGCTCCGCCGGACAAAGCCATCAAACGCTGCTCTGTCATATGAACGCATGCTCTGGTAAAATCCTATTTTATATAAGCATTAACACATAAATTATTTAGTAACATGAATCAGTTGTTGACTTTTTGTGTAAGTTAAATGAAATTCACTTCGATTGCTTTGAATTGCATGTACACTTGCGATATAGAACTATTATAATATTATTTTTACCAAAGTGACTCGGTTTGTCCTTCCTTATTACGCCATAACAAGCGATTATTCTATACATATGTAAATTTCAGTAAATGGAGGTTGGTCACACTGGTCCACATGGTCGAAATGCTCTACGTCATGTGATTTAGGAACTTTAACACGTGCTCGTTCATGTACTAACCCAGTGCCAGCCCATGGTGGTGCTCAGTGTTCGGGGAACAAGACAGAGACGCATGAATGTTCTGTAGGACCGTGTCCTTGTAAGTAATTTAGACAGCTTTTTACACAGCTTTAGAGTTGGGCATTAACCGAGAGCAGGATGCTTACAGAAAGAGAAATCTCAAATTTATTCATGAATGATGATAATTATGATCTTTTATGAACTGTGTTTATTATCTCATGATATGGTTATAGTTTATATATTTTATGAACTGTGTTTATTATCTCATGATATGATTATAGTTTATATATTTTATGAACTGTGTTTATTATCTCATGATATGGTTATAGTTTATATCTTTTATGACTGTGTTTATTATCTCATGATATGGTTATAGTTTATATATTTTATGAACTGTGTTTATTATCTCATGATATGATTATAGTTTATATCTTTTATGAACTGTGTTTATTATCTCATGATATGATTATAGTTTATATCTTTTATGAACTGTGTTTATTATCTCATGATATGGTTATAGTTTATATCTTTTATGAACTGTGTTTATTATCTCATGATATGATTATAGTTTATATCTTTTATGAACTGTGTTTATTATCTCTTTAACACATGAGACTTACCTATTCACAAAAGTTTCCGATTATTTCTTTGATTTGAATCAAAACCTTAGCTCAGAGAACTCCTAAAGCAAATCCATGTTTTACTATAACAAAAAAAAATCTAAACTAACAACATCAACACAAAAAATGGCCGATGTATCGTGAGGTTGAAAAAAAAAACACTAAATCATGGTCACATTTTACACAGCAAAACCCACCAGTCCTTTTAAAAGGAGAAGTAGACCAACCTTTTTTTTATTGTTTTTCTTGTTTTTCTTTTATAAATCTACAATGTTTTCATTTTGTTTGGATGTGATAAATTTATCGCAGAGATAGATTTAGAAAAGTAAATATTTACAAATGAACTCAACAACATCTATAATTGTATATTTTAAAAGCAAACAATTGAAGAAATATATTATGATACATGTTTAGTCCTTATTTGTAGGTTTCAAGCTCCACCTAGTCTTATTCTGGACATGCTTTTACAAATCGCAAAGCATCTATCAGTGGCATATTGTTGCAGCCAATGGAAATTTAAAAACGAAAAAAACAAAAAAAAAAAACAAAAAAAAAACGGTTTTGCTATAAGTCGGAACACAATTATTAACAATGTTTGATTTAGTTCGTGTTTTTAATTAATCTTTTATTATCTTCAGCTTGGTCACTTTGGTACAACGGTCAGTGTAGTTCGTCCTGTGGAAATGGCACAATGGAGCGAATCCGCACGTGCAGTTCTGGTACAAACTCCGACTGTCCTGGTGACGGAAAACAATTGATCCCTTGTGTAGGAACCGAATGTATTTAACATGCTGTTTTCATTAAGCCATTTAAAGAAATATTACAAAAGTATATATTTTTTTTTTAGCTATAACAATTCCCGGGGTAATTCTTTGGACATGAATTTCAGCTAAAAAAGAAACAGATTTTAGTTACAATTTCCCAGTTCTGATATAAAATAAAGAAACATAGGAAATGACCTATTAGGGCTCGAATCCACGATATCTTTGTTGAGGGTAAACAACAACTATACCACTGCTCTCTTTTATGTCATTTCTTATCACACTGATCACGTCTTTCTATCAACACGTCATTTTATCAACTCGCTTGTCAATAAACACGCCTTATTATCAATATGCCATTCTATCAACACGCCATTATATCAACACGGCTGTCCATCAACAGTCCATTTCTATCATCACGCCATTCTATCAACACGGCTTTCCATCAACACACCACTTCTATCATTCTATCAACACGCCATTTCTATCAACACACCATTCTATCAACACAGCTTTCCATCAATAGTCCATTTCTATCATCACGCCATTCTAATAACACGACTTTCCATCAACAGTCTATTTCTATCAACAACACGGCTTTCCATCAACACACCATTTCTATCAACACGCCATTCTATCAACAAGGCTATCCATCAACACGCCATTTCTATCAACACGATTTTCTATCAACACGGCTATCCATCATCACGCCATTCTATCAACACGGCTATCCATCAACACACCATTTCTATCAACATGCCATTCTAGCAACACGGTTATCCATCAACACGCCATTTCTATCAACACGGCTATCCATCAACACGCCATTTCTATCAACACGCCATTCTATCAATACAGCTTTCCATCAACAGTCCATTTCTATCATCACGCAATTCTATCAACACGGCTTTCCATCAACAGTCCATTTCTATCAACACGCCATTCTATCAACACGGCTTTCCATCAAGACGTCATTTCTATCAATACGGCTTTCCATCAACACACCATTTCTATCATCATGCACGCCTTTCTGTCAACACGCATTTCTATCAACACGTCATTCTATCAACACGCATTTTTATCAACACGCCATTCTATCAACACGGCTCTCTATCAACACGCCATTCTATTAACATTACTTTTGCTCTTTATGTGCCAGTTTAACAATACAAAATTAACGAAAAGTAACAGGAATCAGCAGGAAAAGGAGGCCATTGGTAACAAATGCAATAAAGGGAGACCACTGCGCTGTATCGGTCTAGCTTTATTACGAATAAACTTATCACTACAGTCAAGATAAAGTTACATAAAGAAATCGAAAATAGCAGATACCCCGAACCTCTTCACATAAACCCTACATACACCTGTTAAATAAAACTAGTGTAATCAAAGTGTGTGATTCAAACTGAATTTCCTTTATATAAAACGGATTTTTTTTTAAAACGGCTTTTGATGATCAAATCACAGGAAAATTCACCATATTTGTAAGTTTATATATTCACACACTAATTGTCTTTATGTAGTCAAAATATAAAATACATATTCATTTTCATGTAGCATGTATATAAGTGTACATTATATGTTCATAAATATTTGTAAAGATCTAGTAACGCGATAACCAACAACACAACGAATAGGTGAATGTCGTATCTAAAAGAAAAACTCATGATAATCAGTGATTAACGAACGAACAAAAGAAAAAAATGCGAACGAAGGAGAATAATGAATAAATACATAAATAAATAAATAAAGCAAAATTGAAATAATGTATGACTAATGTAAATGTATGAACGTAGATGTGAAGAATTGATGTAAATGTATGAACGTACAGTTTAGGAATTGATGTACATGTCTGAACATAGAGTTGAGGAATAAATGTCCATATATGAACGTAGACTTGAAGAATTGATGTACATGTATGAACGTAGACTGAAGAATTGATGTACATGTATGAACGTAGATTTGAAGAATTGATGTACATGTATGAACGTAGTCTTGAAGAATTGATGTACATGTATAAACGTAGATTTGAAGAATTGATGTACATGTATGAACGTAGATTTGACGAATTGATGTACATGTATGAACGTAGATTTGAGGAATAAATGTACATGTATAAACGTAGAGTTGAGGAATTGATGTACATGTATGAACGTAGATTTGAGGAATAAATGTACATGTATGAACGTAGATTTGAGGAATAAATGTACATGTATGAACGTAGATTTGAGGAATTGATGTACATGCATGCGCATAGAGTTGAAGAATTGATGTACATGAATGAATGTATGGTTAAAGAATTGATGTACACGTATAAACGTAGGTTTGTATAATTGATGTACATGTATGAACGTAAATTTGAAGAGTTGATGTACATGTATGAACGTAGAATTAAAGAATTGATGTACATGTATGAACGTAGAATTAAAGAATTAATGTACATGTATGAACGTAGAATTGAAAAATTAATGTACATGTATGAACGTAGAATTAAAGAATTAATGTACATGTATGAACGTAGAATTAAAGAATTGATGTACATGTATGAACGTAGAATTAAAGAATTGATGTACATGTATGAACGTAGAATTAAAGAATTGATGTACATGTATGAACGTAGAATTAAAGAATTGATGCACATGTATGAACGTAAATTTGAAGAGTTGGTGTACATGTATAAACGTAGATTCGTAGTCTGACATAGAGTTGATGAATCTATGTACATGTATGAACGTAGAATTAAAGAATTGATGTACATTAATGAACGTAGAATTAAAGACTTGATGTACATATATGAACGTAGAGTTGAGGAATCTATGTACATGTATGAACGTAGAAATAAAGAATTGATGTACATTATGAACGTAGAATTAAAGAATTGATGTACATGTATAAAAATAGAGTTTTATTCAATAAGTCCTAAACTTATGTTTGTAAACCAATATTAAAGTATTTGTAAGTCTTGGGTTGGAGTTTTGAAATGGCGTCTCGACATGTACTTAAACCACATCCTCAGTAGATGTTGTAAAAGTTTCATCACCTATCAGTGATGACAAGTCTTTTAAATATTTCCCATTAGAAGAAAACACTGATAGAACTTTCCTGTTCATTTTGTAGTCATTAGATATATTCCCCCAAACAAACTTTAGTTCTGTAATCATACAAAAATAATTGAAATTAACTACAGCTATTAGCTTCAACAATTTTTAACTGACTTATACACTTATCCCTTTTAGTAAAATTTAAGCAATTAAAATGAAATTGTTTTATCTCAGCTTCAGCTGTAAAGTATTAATCAAGCAATTATTCTGATGTGTAAGAATTGGATTATTATTGATTTTAAAAGTTTAAGAATAATATTAATTAAACATTTGCACTGTCAGTTCTATAGGAAATTCGTACGTTGAAAGTAAACGGCTTGGGTTTAAAATCAGTTTACATTTTAAAAATGTGTTAGGAAATTCGTACGTTGAAAAGTAAACAGCTTGTGTTTAAAATCAGTTTACATTTTAAAAATGTGTGACAAAAACTTAAAATTAAAATTACAAAAGGAGCGATGCGCCGATATTTAAACCCAACAAATGTACCAGGAAGTGACGAATATACATGTATATCTTAATACGATCCAACTTGTTTACCCCATTTATAACACTGTATAACACATAGTTTTATCACTGTGAAAAATATATATGATGGTTATCAAACACACTAGGATGTGTCATCGGCCGTGTTGAAAACACGAAATCACAATAATTAATGTTATGTTCGCCGTATTTTCACCATTTTTTGTTTTGCCTTTTTGCATTTTCCCAGTCATTTTCAGTTCGTAATGTTAGCATGAAAACACCCTACAAGTATATAAAAATGAAAAAATATGCAACGAAATATTCATCTTGTCGGATGTTATATAAGTTTAATTTGTGCATGTCGAAAATGCTATTATGTTGAAGGGATTTTGAATAGAAAATATTTACTGAATTTGAATTATTCAGCTTCAGTATAGAAAAACGTTGCAGTTTATCGAACAATATCGCGCTATATAAGATAAATTATATTGTTGGTATACATTTATCGTACACAATTTATAATGAACAATATTTTCGGTCGAAGTCCGTCTAAAATCAGTTTGATTTCCTGTAAAATGTAAAGGGATGAACTGCATATAAGTTGTATTTCCATTGGTCATTTTAAGATTACAAACTGAAATCCATGACTCTCACTGGCCATTTTTAAATAAGTAAAATAATATAAAGGATTTTCTTATAAACTGAAACGTCTTAATTCTCTAATAACCAAAAGGAGTTTCCGAATCAATTTTTTTAGAACTGTCTTTAGAAAAGATACTCGGCCGAAGTACTGCTTTTACTTGCGTACGTTATTTCGGAGATGAGTAAACATGCATGATGAACTGATAGCAGTGATTGTTTAAAACGAACAGTTATTATTTGTGCAAATTTAAAGTTGCTGAAGGGCTATTTTAGGCTTAGAAATTAAAATTGTAAAACATAAAATTAATATAATATCTTCAGAGTAGAACTTCTTTCCTGTTTTACAGTATTTTTGTACATGTGCATATTACTTTTTTACATTTATATTTTTTTTACAAAAGTTAACCACTCTGTCACGGACACCCTTGTTTACCAGTACATGTTATTCCATGTTATTTATTAATAACATCCTGAAGAAAAGATTGAAGAAGCCACCATGAACAAAACAGCTAAATCGTACTCAACAGTTTCGCTGAAAACATTTTCCCCTCTGAATATCATTTTAAGATTATGAATATCATTTAAAATGAAAGCGGAATAAATGCTTCAATTGACATATCATTCAACGGTTAGATTCAAGAAGCACTATACAAGTTACCTGTCTAAATGTAACTGTCATGTTCCGGTATATATTATTAGTTATAAAGATTGTTGACAGGTTATATGGCCCTATATAAACGGCTATTTGTAAATATAACCCGAGCCGCTAGGCGAGGGTTATATTGGATATAGTCGTTTATATACGGCCATATAACCTGTCAACAATCTTTATAACGAATTTATAATACAGCATGCATCATTTTTTAGTGAAAAAAGTAAGATTTCTTCATGAATCGACAATAGCCGTGTATATTATTAGTTATAAAGATTGTTAACAGGTTATATGGCCCTATATAAACGGCTATTTGTAAATATGATCCGAGCCGATAGGCGAGGGTTATATTGCAAAGAGCCGTTTATGTACGGTCACATAACCTGTCAACAATCTTTATAACGAATTTATAATACAGCAAGCATCATTTTATTTTAGAGAAAAAGTAACATTTCTTCATGAATCGACAACAGCCGTGTATATAAAATTTTATAATACTGCACGTTTGTAACGTCGCTTTTCATTGGATTACCGTGACGTTTATATAGTTTTATATACACGGCTGTTGTCGATTCATGAAGAAATCTTACTTTTTTCTCTAAAAAAATGATGTTTGCTGTATTATAAATTCGTTATAAAGATTGTTGACAGGTTATATGGCCGTATATAAACGGATGTTTGCAATATAACCCTCGCCTAGCGGCTCGGGTTATATTTACAAACAGCCGTTTATATAAGGCCATATAACCTGTCAACAATCTTTATAACTAATAATATAAACGTCACGATTATCCAATGAAAAGCGACGTTACAAACGTGCAGTATTATAAAAAAACACTATATAAACGTCACGATTATCCAATGAAAAGCGACGTTACAAACGTGCAGTATTATAAGAACACCTAACAATGCACACATAGATATATATATGCATCATTGATATCCAAAATGTAAGGAAATTATGATATTCATATCACATGAACACATCAATAATCATAAGATATCATATGAATTTCGGGGATCAAAGGCGTTATAAGTGGTCTGGACAAACTTATAAAATGCCATTCATAACTCAGTAATTCGTTTTATCACATAAACCGCGGCGCAGGAGTGTAATAAAGCCATTTATTACATGCTTTTCGGTGGTTTATAGAAATATATCAGTGATATAAAACTGGTAATTTCACTGTTTGAAACAGTGAAATTACCACTTTGATAATTTCGCTGTTTTGAATTTAAGCCCCTTACGTTGTTTCAGTGAAATACCAGCGTGCACAACTTAATGACGTCACATTGTATTATTATTTGGCGCGCTTTTCATTCAGTATTAGGTTTAATGTCTTTTTAAAACGTTTCTTTGCATATAATAAAAAGAAAACTTGTTTAAGTTAGTGTAAGATCGAAATATATTTCACCTTGTGAACACCAAAAGTTCATATTTCACTCGTGGCTGCGTCACTAGTTCTTGAAATATACCTTTTGGTGCTCACTCGGTGAAATATATTCCGATCTTACACTGAACTTAACAAATATCCTCTATTTAATAAAAACAATATTACACTATAGTAGTGTAATAACACTTTGACGTGACGTCATTTGCGCTATATAGAAACATAGCGTTAAAGCGCGCTAATGTTAGCGTTACACTATGGGCGCGTCATTGAAAAATTACTCATTTTAACAGTTTACTGTTCTTATTTTATGTATGTGATAAATAGAATATTATATTCGTGTAGATTCAATACTAAATTTATTGAACTCGTTGAATAAAACAATATTATGCTCGCCTCTTTTACTCAACTCGTTCAATAAATTTAATATTAAACTACACTCATTAAATATTCTCTATTTATATTGAATAAGCTATTCACTAAAGAATTAAGTAAGTTTTTAAAGCAGTGTAAAATATTTAATGGGAGGACACGCAATCCACATATCTCAAATATTTGAAAAATTTAAATCTTGTATAATTAACTCGCAATTTACAGGTACAAAAGTCCAGAAAACCGGAAGATATTTTCTAAAAAGTCGTAAAAGTAATGCAGAAGAGACAAGTGTTGACAAGTTATCATCTGTATAACAAATCAGTAAGTTTATTATTATCATATGATGAGATATATAATTTGAAACAATTCATTATTTATCAATATATATTATACTGTGTCATACTCTTATCTGTGTGTATTGTATTTATATTACCCTTTATTTTTTTATTGTTCCCGACTATATGAAATATTTCATATCTTTGCTAGCTCGTATATAAATATTAGGAAAAAGATAGTGTAAACCTTTGTCAGTAGTTATAAATTAAAAAGCGTCTGTATGTATGATATGAGCAAGGTGATCGGTGTGAAGAAGATGGTTATTGAAAATTTATAGTGTTTTGTTAAATTGATTGAATGTTAGTTCTTGAACACTAAATAACATAAAACTTTAGCCTCTTATTAATATCTCTGTTTAAAAAAGGAACAGAACTCAACATATCTGGACTAGAAAGTAAGTTATTTAATAGTTTTTTCCATATTGTAAATGTCTCTAAACAATGTAAAAGCAGATAAAGAAATCAAATTTAGTTATGTTTTTTGACAATTTAAACACTCATTGAAAACAAAACGTTTCCAATTATTTAACGTGTACATATTATTTTGTAATTTCAAATTAAATATCTTAAACAATTATTTCATATAAGTTTGTTTTGAAATTCTAATACTTTATTAAATTCATAAGAAATTATCAACGATGGACGGCGAGTCTCTGCTTAACACGACAACTTCCAGGAGTTCAGGTAACATAAAACAAAGTCACCCATCACTATCAACACCTTTGCTTTCATTTTAAAATGCATGTTTTAGTCCCCCAACCCCTAAATTGTGAAGCGGCCTGGACTTTTGTGATTTGTTAAATGCAAAGCCTGAATTTTTTTGATATTGTGAAGTTTTATTGTTATTTCCATTTTGACAGAAAAAGCGCAATATTGACAAAAATTGTGATAGTCGAATTATAAATCCACTTTATTTCTTTCTTTATCTCGAGTAAACTTGTTTTTTTATAGAATATTTCAACATAAATGTTAAAATAGCTCTGATATTTGTTTTATTCAGGTTATTTAAAAATGACACATCATTGAATATACTTTAAAATGTGATTGTATAATGTTTGATGAAGCAATCAAAAAAATGTTTGTTTGTGAAACTGGCATTTCTGTCAGTTGTGAGGCTGGCATCTTGTGGAGTTTTTGAACCGTGGAGTTTCCTTCTTCAAATTTTGAAATGACTTGTAACCTCTATAAGGCCCCTGTTATAAAGTGAGAAAAAAGTGACATAATTATCATTAAAAGTGATAATATTGATAAAACCAAAAATGACTTTACCTTTTATGCTTTTTACAATGGTCATCATTTTACATCAGTTGAAACAAACGTGGAGGTAAATGACTTTTGACTTATTGTAACTAGTTATCCAACCATCATGGAAAACATGTGCCGCTATGTTTGTGCTTAATCCGATGTGATATTAGGAATGAATTTATCTATACGTTATTGCGCCTGTGGGGTGAGTCTGCCATTCCCCAGAAATAACAATTTTATATATCGTTTCGCCAGTGGGGAGAGTCTGACAGGCCCCGGAAATAACGATTCTATATATCGTTTCGCCAGTGGGCTGAGTCTGCCATTCCCCGGAAATAACAATTTTATATATCGTTTCGCCAGTGTGGAGAGTCTGACGGACCCCGGAAATAACGATTCTTTATATCGTTTCGCCAGTGGGGAGAGTCTGCCAGACCCCGGAAATAATGATTCTACATATTGTTACGCTTGTGGGGAGAGTCTGCCAGACCCCGGAAATAACGATTCTATATATCGTTTCGCCAGTGGGGAGAGTCTGCCAGACCCCGGAAATAACGATTCTAGATATTGTAACGCCGGTGGGGAGAGTCTGCCAGACCCCGGAAATAATGATTCTATATATTGTTACGCCAGTGTTTAGAGTCTGACAGACCCCGGAAATAATGATTTTATATATTGTTACGCCTGTGGGGAGAGTCTGCCAGACCCCGGAAATAACGATTCTATATATCGTTTCGCCAGTGGGGAGAGTCTGCCAGACCCCGGAAATAATGATTCTATATATTGTTACGCCTGTGGGGAGTGTCTGCCAGACCCCGGAAATAATGATTCTATATATTGTTACGCCGGTGGGGAGTGTCTGCCAGACCCCGGAAATAACGATTCTATATATCGTTTCGCCAGTGGGGAGAGTCTGCCAGACCCCGGAAATAACGATTCCATATATCGTTTCGCCAGTGAGGAGAGTCTGCCAGACCCCGAAAAAAATGATTCTATATATTGTAACGCCGGTAGGGAGAGTCTGCCAAAGCCCGGAAATAGCGATTCTATATATCGTTACGCCGGAGGGGAAGACTGCCAGACCACGGAAATAATGATCCTATATATTGTTACGGCTGTGTGGAGAGTCTGCCAGACCCCCGAAATAATAATTTATATATTCTTACGCCGGTGGGAAGAGTCTGCCAGAGCCCGGAAATAATGATTCTATATATTGTTACGTCATTGGGGAAAGTTTGATAGGCTCTGATGGGGTGAGCCTGATAAACCCCTGGAATAATAAATGTATATTACCACAAATATATATCTATATTTAGCTCCATGATATAACGATCTTTCCTGCATTTTGCGCATGCCAATTTTGCGTTATGCTATGTTCTCACCCCGATCAGATCAACTCGATCGTCCCGATCACATTAATTCCCCGATGAAGTCCGACCAAGCTGGGTTAAATGCACATTCACGACTCCTACACGACCCGACAACCCGACCAACATCCCGACTTCTTCTCGATCACCCAGACATATACGCGAGTCATACACGATCTCAACTAGACTTACTGGACCTCTGCTCGATCGTTGCCAGATCGTAATGATGGTAATCGAGTCGTGAATATTCGTGAAAAGGAGTCGAGATGATCGTGTACAGATCGGGTAAGAGATGTATACCCGACCAAACTAGATCGTTACACGATTTATTCTCCATCAACTAGATCTTCTTTTCGATCACTATACGATTGCTTCTCGACCGTTTATCTGCTCGATCGCTACTTGAATTATTTGACATGTCAAAAAAATTCGGGTAGGAAGCCCGAGCCATGCCGACCAAGGTAGACCGCTCCGACCACCCCCGATCACGCATGTAGATCGAGCTAGACCGGAACCCGATCGCTTGATCGTGCTTGATCGAGTTGATCTGATCGGCGGTGAGAATACAGCATTAGGCAAAACGATATTGTCCAGAACTTGTACCTGCGGACCAGCTGCCGATGTCCTGACTTATGCCGACGGAAGTGTCCACCGATGTAGGAAGAGACGACGAGGATGATGTGCTAGATGTGTGAGTCCCTAGCACAGATAGACGGATTGTAAGGGCTACCTCCTTTCATTATTGTCTCAGGTTACTGTACATTTAAGTTTACCGCCGTACAGTGACCTACTTTTGGCTGAAAAATAATATTCCACGAAAATTGCTTGGCGGTATATATTCACCACTTAAAGTACTTAAAACGTGAATCGATATTTATAACAGAGATACGAAAATATGCGGGGCTAATAACTCAATGATAAAAAAAACGCAAACAAGTTATCATTAGACGACTTTTTCATTGAAACAGCAGGGTGTTAAAGATAAAATTTTATTACCCCTTACGCAATTGGTATTGTATAGTTCCTTTGAAAGTGGATTGGTAAGGCGGAGTCAAACAGACTGACACGTGACCGGTTGTTTTTTTCCATCATTCAACCGTGCGTTTTAATAACATAACAGATTTAATAACGTAAAATTATGAAAATCGTAATTTCAGTAAATTTTATATAATTATACCAATCTTATCAATGTTTATTAATTTTGTGAAGTTACAAATAGTGTGACGTGCATTTACATGTGTTACGAGGAACCTGATAAAATGTGTGTCAGGTCGACTGACGTCGATGGTTGTTAGGGGTGAATTCTTTCCATGGCTTTTATGGCAATCTTGGCCACAAAGCTATTAAGGCATCGTTTATGTTTTTGTTAAAAGCTATTGTTTTCTATATTTTTTCCGTTTTGCTTTAAACTAACTCGGTATTGTCTATGAACTTCTATTACATTTCTATGTAGAGCCTACGCAGATTGCGCATGCGCGAGAAAATACTACTTCTGGTCGATTTTTCATAGCAAAGGACCGCGCCGTAACAAGGTCTATATTAATGACGTCGTTGGGGAGAACCTGCTAGAACCCGGGTGCTATACATTTGCAGATGCATATCTCTTGTATGACAATATACTTGAAATCAAGATTATTTATACGAGGAAGTCTGGCTGTATATTTCAAAGGATCCTAATTCAAATAACATAATAAAGAATATAGTTCTATATACCTGTCCAAAAATTGATTGTTATTTACCATTCATTTTTGCAGTTTTTTAATGCGTACACATAGCCACCAACAACTCTGTAACGTTTTACATTCTATCGTTAGCAGGTATTTTATAGTTTTATTATTATTTTAGGAAAACAAAAACATAACACGTTAAACTTAAAAAAAATGTTTCAAACGTAAAGCCTGGAATATGTTCGATTGTAGTCTTATCATCCAGACGATTGCGGGTGGGAAACAAAAGCGTTTGAATGATATTAACTTGACCGTTTAAAGTGTACGGCTCAATATCAGTTTACGCAACTTGTTTAATTAAATTCCCAGTTCCATTGGCTTTGCCTGCTTCCATTAACAGAAAACGTCACATCACCGTTGGCACAAATCTGTCAAAGGCGTGAAGTTCGCAGTATTATGTTGACGTCACCTACAAGTATTAATTAACATGATTTTGAGTTTGATTCGAACACGCGACTTCAATGTCTTTTAATCTTTCTCTTCCCCTACCTACTGATGTTTTTAGGCAGGCTGGGTCGGGATCAATTGTTTCATACATTTAAAAGGTCTCCAATTAGGACAACAGATAGATAGAAAGATATTCCCTTATATAAAGTACAACATGCAATTCTTAAACTGCTTTACAACAAATAATCTTGATCTTTCTATATTTGTAAGCAGACTTTGGATAATTTAAAACAGAAATATCTTTCCTGGAAATTGTAAAACTTTCTTTCTTCTCAGAATTCTTCTTATTTATTTACTAGAATTTGCTAGACATGCTACTGTAGATTATTATATAGTTAGCTCACATGTCACTACCATGTAGACTATATTTTAACCATCTTGCTGCAGGAACTGTCAAATAATTAATATGATGCATCGAACAGGCTTATTATTATTAAACACATCTATAGTGTTTACTGTTAAAATTACGGACCCATTTGTTGTTAATTTTATGTGAAGTACAAAACAAATCCTCGAGATTAGGATGGAAATAATTGTGTTGTCGGCAGCAAAACGGTTGAAATATCTGCTATTTTAGAGCTATGTAGAAGAAAATAGAAAGGATAACAGAAATGTCAAGAGTTCACCAGAAACCTTAGATAGAAACCTCTAGTCTTTACATACTATATATAACATTGTTAATGAATCGTTTAACGAGACATTTTACGAGCAAACTATGTATATTACAAACAGGGACAGATATATCCGTCATATGCTTTTATATTGTCCAATATGTTCTAGGTTTCTTTAATAAGTCTGTCATAGTGTATATGATAGCTTATCATATCTTAGTTTGCATACGTAAAGATTGGACCTAGATTAATGTCATCCTGCTTTATATCATGGGCGTCAAATCGTCCTGTCCGAAATTTGAACACTCAATTCTTAATATGTAGCCCTTACACTGACTTAATCAGAAAAAAAAAGAAAAAAGAAGAAAAAACAACATCATATCATTTTAAATTAAATCTTGTTAGGCTAGTAGTTTTAACTACTTTACTCAAACTAATTACGGTTGTTTGAAGGGGAATTTAAAGAATTACATAACTTAACTTATATCTCATACCATATATATTTACAAATAAGTAAAATAATCCTTATCTGCCTATATTATATTCAAACATAAAAAAATCCTCAAATTTTTTACCATTTTTGTTTCAGAATATTAGCTATAGAATTAATTTACATATGCACATTTTATTACATAACAGGATATACCAGCATGACTGTTGGAGGGACTAAACACCGGAAGAAACTTGCGGTGGAAAACCAGTCCAAGATTGACAAGGAATTTAGCAAGAAAAGCACTTATAGACATAGACCGTCTGTCAAAGTTGTGGTAACAAAATGGGTCTCAACCGGCATCCTTGGTGCACTCCTCCTCGCCTGTGTTACTGACAGTAAAATATCTATTATAGCCCTATCTAACAGAATGAACTATAACATAAAAGACGAGAAGTATGAAGATGCTTGTAAAGGATTTGTCATGCTTCAGTTATTAGCTGTCATTCCAAATGTGATCAATTTTATTAGAGGTGTTTGGGCAGGTGCATTCCGAAAAGATTTGCCATGGCCGAAGAAGAAAGCTATGATAGCGGTAAATTTGTTTGTGAAAAATTAATGTTATGCTTTTTATGTTAAACATGCCATGATATGGTAATTGTTATTTCCACTTCTATTATGTAATATTTTCTGTAAAAAAGACAACATAACAACAACAGACAGATTTAGTTCACAAGACTTTGTGTCTTGATCGTTGCGTTACAAAACTTTCCTGTTAACTTAAGAAAGATAACATCGACATTGTCTTTATAAAATAAGGCAAGTTCACTCCGATAATATGATGCGTTTCAATATATTTATCTTGTCAAACATTTTCTATTATATATGCTTAGAATATAAATTATACTGGATTTTTTCTTTCAGGGATTTTTTGTCAGTTTAATGGAATCTCTTGGCATCTGCCTATTTATCTTCAATATTCCTGGTTTGACGAGTGCTCATAACGTTATCCTGCTCATGAACTGTGTCTTTATCGTCCCACTTTTCTCTATCATCTATACTAGCTTTAAAAACAGAAGTCGATCACTCTGGAAATGCTTGTTCCTTTTGGCCTTACTCTGTGAAATAGTAGGTATCGGACTCACCGGGTACCTTTTGAAAGATAGTGAAGGATCTGAAGTGTTCTGGACTGTGCCACTTGCAGTTCTCTTGCTGTCGATATCTTGGACTCCGGGTTTGTGGAATTTTCTGCTAGAGACAGATGTAAACCACGAGTATGAGGAGATCGTAGAGGAAAATGGTGAAGAAACGTACGTTCTCGATTACAGTACGACTGGTTCAACAACACCTGGTGCAAGTACAAGTACTGGATACCAGGGATCTAGCCAAGTATTTACTTCATCTTATTTTATTATTACAGCTTTATTTGAGCATTTATAGTGACCCTTTAATTTCTTTTTTCTGTTTACTACTCGATCAGTGGTCTTTTGTTTTAGATATAATTTTTACACTTTGAATCTTTTTGAACGAGTATGTGTTTTTAACATTTATTGTAAAAGGACAACATCCTGCTTTAAATACATTTATATTACCCACCAGCACCAGCCTTGTATTGATACCAGAAAATTTATTTTACATCTTAATTAATTGCAGAACAATCGTTCTTCTATGCATGAAAGTCATCGGTTAGTGGAGAGACCACCACCTGGCGACATAGAACCGAGAACGGACATTCAACATGAACGGTCAACGTGGAAACTTACAATATACATGTCTTTCCTGAAAATCATTTTCACTATAGGAATATCCATAGCACTTTTATATTGGAAACTAAAGGCACCAGGTCAGTATTTAACTAAGTTTATGAAATAAAGATACTTTGAAAACGATTGAATTTAGTTAAAGTCTACGTTTACGTTGCTGCGAAACACAGTGCATTTCTCAGAACATGTTGCTCGGATATCGCGAGATAATCTCATCTACTTACTTTACTTTAAAGTTTTTATATTAAACTTCGTCCAGGTGTTTTAAGAGATTTGCAAGAACTGTATTCCATACTGTATTAGGAGTTATCCAAGTTGTAAATTATCGCCCCTTGCCTTTGAATGTCGGTAAAAAGGAGTTACAGTTATAATCATTGTTTCCAGTAAAAAGGTCTTCCTATCATATGTATCAGTTTATTTGTGTGTATTTAACTGACAAAAATCAACAGTTATAAATGCATGTTTCCGGCCAGAAATCAAGAGACACAGATTTTTTCCATGTTATTGCTGATCGGATATGATATTGTTTCTACAGAAAACAAGTCTTTGACAGACAGCTATTTCTCAGGATGGAACTGGGCGGGCACCTCGCAGCAAGAAGTGTACTTTTTTGTGGCAAACATGGTATCAAGTGTGATAGGTTGGTAATATAACTATTTTTCCTGTAACGTCAATAAAACTAATTGCTTTATCGTGAATGACGCATGACGCATACATTTTTAGATAATCATTATTTTTATATAAAAAACGCATGATGTAAGATATAGCAAAATTTTTGTTAAGTTTTTCATAAGATTTTATTGTTTATGACTTATTTAACAGGGTACATGATCGGATACATCGCGTGCACGACATGTATGCAGAGGTGGGCGTTCTCTGTGCCACTCGTTTTAACCACGCCCCTTTCTATGATTCTACTCATAGTGAAAGATAGTTGTGAAGGTTTATTAATAGGTAAGTCGTTTATTTATATGTTAGTATACATTTTATCTATTGTTTATTTATATGTAAGTATACACTTTATCTATCGTTTATTCTTATGTAAGTTTACATATTTGTATGTTAGAAGGCCATACTCAAAATAAGTATACTTGTTACTGTAAACTTTGTATGTTACCTTCTATAAATAAAGATTTTATTATTATTATTATTATTGTTATTATTATTATATGTTTTTATACATCGCTTATATGTAACTAGTTACTTTATATAGCGTTTATTAATATGCAAATTTACCCTTATAGAATTATAGCATATATTTAAATGTAAGAATAAACTTTATAAACTGTTTATTTTTTAGTAAGATTGCGCTTTATTTTTGCGTATATTTTCTTTAATTAATTATGCAAGTATATCCTTAAAATATATAATCACTTGAGTTGTTTATAAATTATAAAAACAATTTTGGAAAAGTCTTTTCTGAAAAACATGTTTGCGGACGTTTACAAGAGAGACCTGCTGGTACAAAATATTGCCGAAAATACTCCACCATAAAGAAGATATAATGTTTAATTTTATTATTTACATTGATATAGCAACAAGTTGTGAAACAGATTCCAGCAATGGAATATTCCTCCTTATAGCGGCCGGATGTCTCGTGTTGGCACAGGCGTTATCTACGGGATGGTTGCTCTTTAGAAGTCAGTCATTAGTTATGCTGAAGGAAGATCAGGTAATAGTTGTCCCTTATGCTGCATGAAGAACAGTTGATAGTTGTATTTTTATATCAAAAGTTGTCTTTAATATCTATATATATTAAAAATTTTATACTAGAAGAATGTTAGGTTGTAGTTGTCCATTTATATCTATAGTTATAAAGACGGAAAATTAGGTGGTAGTTGAATGTTAGATTGTAGTTGTCCATTTATATCTATAGTTATAAAGACGGAATATTATGTTGTAGTTGAATGTTAGGTTGTAGTTGTCCATTTATATCTATAGTTATAAAGACGGAAAATTAGGTTGTAGTTGAATGTTAGGTTGTAGTTGTCCATTTGTATCTATAGTTATAAAGACGGAATATTAGGTTGTAGTTGAATGTTAGGTTGTAGTTGTCCATTTATATCTATAGTTATAAAGACGGAATATTAGGTTGTAGTTGAATGTTAGGTTGTAGTTGTCCATTTATATCTATAGTTATAAAGACGGAAAATTAGGTTGTAGTTGAATGTTAGGTTGTAGTTGTCCATTTGTATCTATAGTTATAAAGACGGAAAATTAGGTTGTAGTTGAATGTTAGGTTGTAGTTGTCCATTTGTATCTATAGTTATAAAGACGGAATATTAGGTTGTAGTTGAATGTTAGCGTTGTAGTTGTCCATTTATATCTATAGTTATTAAAGGACGGAATATTAGGTTGTAGTTGAATGTTAGGTTGTAGTTGTCCATTTATATCTATAGTTATAAAGACGGAAAATTAGGTTGTAGTTGAATGTTAGATTGTAGTTGTCCATTTGTATCTATAGTTATAAAGACGAGTTAAATGTTAGATTGTAGTTGTCAATTTATATATATTGTTATAAAGAAGGTATGTTAGGTTGCTATTGTCTCTTAATACCTACGTTAGGTTGTATCTATGCTAAATGAATGTTAGTTTTATTCTTAATAGCTTTAGTTTTTTTAATGACTCTCTCCATATATTTGTTTGATCTTTTTGGTCACCATTACGATTTTATTTATGGATAATACACATATTTTGACACTCAGTGTGTGTATTTATTTGAATTGTTGTCAATATTAAACGTGCTAAGCTCCGGACAACAATGTATGAACACTCAATAAAAGTACTTCAAATGATATATAGAGGTAGTTGTTACAAATGTTTACAAGAAACACACAACGCTACACTATAAGCTGTAATAAATAGAAATATATGACATACCAAATGACTGTTTCCCTCCTCAAACCTATAATTACGTTATCATGCAGCGCTGATTGAAAGAGCTCTTAAATTAGAAGAACAGCAACAACATAAAAGCATAAACTGAAGAAAAAAAAAACAAGAAAGGGACAACTCTTGTCCGTCTTTTCATTAAAGTATGTCATTGCCTTATTGTTATTTATAAGCACATGTGTCTTGAATTGGTGTATATACAAAAATAGTTACGCAGACCAAGCGGGGGACAACAGTTTCGTAAAAAAGTCATATTTATTTTTCTGAAAAATTTTGAGTTTACAAATATTTCTGCTTTTTATTCTATGTATATAATTATTATATTTTTGTAAAACATGAACGTTTCAAAAACGTTTACATGCATTAAACATGGGATATATATTTCACACTTTGTTAAATATTAACCTAGGGGATTTTTGCCAAAGTAGACATTTAATTTCTATATTCGACTTATCCTACTTGTAACAGAAAAGGTAATGCGACGGGCTGAAATAAAAAAAGAGGTTCAAATCCAGACTTTGTATGTGTCTGGGTAACGCTGGTTTTCATAACAACACTGTAAAGATCAACTTTAATGGCGGAGGAAGATTTTAGGTGCCTCTTCGAACAAGCGGATACCTGAGTAGAACCACCGGCGTTATCTAAATTAGTTGGATAGCTTCCTCACATAAAAGAGTCTCTGGCTGGGTTCGAACGCATATTCTTATATTAAAACTATTATTGTTAAAGTGTTTGCATGTTCTAAAGTCTCTAATAGCAGTTATTATTTGATTCGTATAAATTGTCTTTAATATTTTTATCGCTTTCCTGTGATATCTTTTTTTTTTAATTTTTAAAATATTTTACAATGATTTAAAATTGTGTCCACTTCCAACATTATATTTATTTGGTTTTATTTCAAAGCATCATATACACAATTTAAAATGTCTTTTATATTTTATTTTATATTTGTGTATTTTCTATGGTATATAAGATTTGTGATCATCAATTATCTTCCTATATCGCATTACTATTATGTCATGTGAATATCAATATTTCCGTATACCACACAATAGAAAGGTGTTGAGGATAAGAGTTTGTGTAATATTTAATTGATAATTTTGTTAGACAGGTGATTTCCTGTTACTGTATTTGGTATGTTTTATGATGTCCCATACAGCGAAATCTATCTGTCTACTCACGGCTTCCATTTTTAAAATTAATACGTCTTCATGTATGCCTAATTTATTATTATTTTATTTTTTAACTATCAGTTTTATTTGCCTGTATCGTGTGTATATGTTAACTGTGTGAAGTTGTTAAGTTATAGAAAGACCATCGAAATACGAGGCTATTTAATTTGTACGAGAGGACGTAGCCCTCGAGTATTAATCAGATTGCCGAGTGTTTTGATGTCCTTCCTCTTTTGTATCATAGTCAAACATAAAAACACGTTCCCTGTTGTCACAATATGAAACCCCAGAAAAAGTAACCAATGAACGAGTATCTGAATATGATATTTCTATCGCTATCCCTTTCTCTGTCGTCACAATAAGTAAACCCCTGCAAAAATGAGCTGCTCGGATTGCGGATAACTAATACCTCCACTCCAGTTAACGCACTGTGCATGTATATGTATACGATGGTCCCCAAACTATGATACAACTTTACTATTGAAGATGGAAGTTTTTATGTTTAAGGCATGTCATTATATAAATACAAGTATATTTTATAGAGGTGTGTATTTTGCAGCTATTCTGGGTACCTATGTATATTTTATAGAGGGGTGTATTTTGCAGCTATTCTGGGTACCTATGTATATATGATAGAGGGGTGTATTTTGCAGCTATTCTGGGTACCTATGTATATATGATAGAGGGGTGTATTTTGCAGCTATTCTGGGTACCTATGTATATTTTATAGAGGGGTGTATTTTGCAGCTATTCTGGGTACCTATGTATATTTTATAGAGGGGTGTATTTTGCAGCTATTCTGGGTACCTACTATGTTTATTTTATAGAGGGGTGTATTTTGCAGCTATTCTGGGTACCTATGTATATATGAAAGAGGGGTGTATTTTGCAGCTATTCTGGGTACCTATGTTTACATGATAGAGGGGTGTATTTTGCAGCTATTCTGGGTACCTATGTATATATGATAGAGGGATGTATTTTGCAGCTATTCTGGGTACCTATGTATATATGATAGAGGGATGTATTTTGCAGCTATTCTGGGTACCTATGTATATATGATAGAGGGGTGTATTTTGCAGCTATTCTGGGTACCTATGTATATATGATAGAGGGGTGTATTTTGCAGCTATTCTGGGTACCTATGTATATATGATAGAGGGATGTATTTTGCAGCTATTCTGGGTACCTATGTATAACTCGGCGCTGCTCGAACAATGGTTTGTATTGATGAGAAGAAATGAACATAGTGATGTAGATTTTGAGGATCCTGTCGAGAAAGCTAAACGATCGAAAGTTATAATATGTACCACCATGTACAGAGAGGTATTGTGACACTTTGTAGCTATTCTTTATAATAAACTGTTATAATATGTACCACCATGTACAGAGAGGTAGAGGTACTGTTATAATATGTACCACCATGTATAGAGAGGTACTGTTATAATATGTACCACCATGTACAGAGAGGTACTGTTATAATATGTACCACCATGTATAGAGAGGTATTGTTATAATATGTACCACCATGTACAGAGAGGTACTGTTATAATATGTACCACCATGTACAGAGAGGTGCTGTTATGATATGTACCACCATGTATAGAGAGGTACTGTTATAATATGTATCACCATGTATAGAGAGGTACTGTTATAATATGTACCACCATGTATAGAGAGGTACTGTTATAATATGTACCACCATGTATAGAGAGGTATTGTTATAATATGTACCACCATGTACAGAGAGGTGCTGTTATAATATGTACCGCCACGCACAGAGAGGTACTGTTATAATATGTACCGCCATGTACAGAGAGGTACTGTTATAATATGTACCGCCACGCACAGAGAGGTACTGTTATAATATGTACCGCCACGCACAGAGAGGTTCTGTTATAATATGTACCGCCATGTACAGAGAGGTTCTGTTATAATATGTACCACCATGTACAGAGAGGCACTGTTATAATATGTACCACCACGCACAGAGAGGCACTGTTATATTATGTACCACCACGCACAGAGAGGTACTGTTATAATATGTAACACCATGTACAGAGAGGCACTGTTATAATATGTACCACCATGTACAGAGAGGCACTGTTATAATATGTACCACCACGCACAGAGAGGTATTGTTATAATATGTACCACCATGTACAGAGAGGCACTGTTATATTATGTACCACCACGCACAGAGAGGTACTGTTATAATATGTACCGCCATGCACAGAGAGGCACTGTTATAATATGTACCACCATGTACAGAGAGGTACTGTTATAATATGTACCGCCACGTACAGAGAGGAACTGTTATAATATGTACCACCACGCACAGAGAGGTACATATTATAACAGTAATATGTACCACCACGCACAGAGAGGTACTGTTATAATATGTACCACCACGCACAGAGAGGCACTGTTATGATATGTACCGCCACGCACAGAGAGGTACTGTTTTAATATGTACCACCATGTACAGAGAGGCACTGTTATAATATGTACCGCCACGCACAGAGAGGTATTGTTATAATATGTACCACCATGTACAGAGAGGCACTGTTATTATATGTACCACCATGTACAGAGAGGCACTGTTATAATATGTACCACCACGCACAGAGAGGTATTGTTATAATATGTACCACCATGTACAGAGAGGCACTATTATAATATGTACCACCATGTACAGAGAGGTAATGTTATAATATGTACCGCCACACACAGAGAGGTATTGTTATAATATGTACCACCATGTACAGAGGTACTGTTATAATATGTACCACCATGTACAAAGAGGTACTGTTATAATATGTACCGCCACGCACAGAGAGGTACGGTTATAATGTGTGCCGCCATGTAAAGAGAGGTACTGTTATAATATGTACCACCATGTACAGAGATGTACTGTTATAATATTTACCACCATGTACAGAGAGCTTCTGTTATGATATGTACGACCATGTACAAAGAGGTACTGTTAAAATATGCACCGCCACGCACAGAGAGATACGGTTATAATATGTGCCGCCATGTACAGAGAGGTACTGTTATAATATGTATCACCACGTACAGAGAGGTACTGTTATAATATGTACCACCATGTACAGAGAGGTACTGTTATATTATGTACCACCATGGACAAAGAGGTACTGTTATAGTATGTACCGCCACGCACAGCGAGGTATTGTTATAATATGTATCACCATGTACAGAAAGGTACTGTTATAATATGTACCACCATGTACAGAGAGGTACTGTTATATTATGTACCACCATGTACAGAGATGTTCTGTTATAATATGTACCGCCATGTACAGAGATGTACTGTTATAATATGTACCACCATGTACAGAGAGGTACTGTTATATTATGTACCACCATGTACAGAGAGGTACTGTTATAATATGTACCACCACGCACAGAGAGGTACGGTTATAATATGTACCGCCACGCACAGAGAGGAACTATTATAATATGTACCACCATGTACAGAGAGGTACTGTTATGATATGTACCACCATGTATAAAGAGGTACTGTTATAATATGTACCGCCACGCACAGAGAGGTACGGTTATAATGTGTGCCGCAATGTACAGAGAGGTACTGTTACAATATGTAACCACCATGTACAAAGAGGTACTGTTATAATATGTACCGCCACGCACAGAGAGGTACGGTTATAATATGTGCCGCCATGTACAGAGAGGTACTGTTATAATATGTACCACCATGTACAGAGAGGTACTGTTATAATATGTACCACAATGTATAGAGAGGTATTGTTATAATATGTGCCACAATGCACTGAGAGGTACTGTTATAATATGTACCACCATGTACAGAGAGGTACTGTTATAATATGTACCACAATGTATAAAGAGGTACTGTTATAATATGTTCCACCATGTACAGAGAGGTACTGTTATAATATGTACCACCATGTATAAAGAGGTATTGTTATAATATGTGCCACAATGCACTGAGAGTTACTGTTATAATATGTAGCACCATGTACAGAGATGTAATGTTATAATATGTGCCACCATATTTAGAGAGGTACTGTTATAATTTGTACGACCATGTTCAGACATATATTGTGAGAATTTGTAGCTATCCTATGTAATATACTGGCCAATGTTTGGTAAATCGGTCTGTTTTAAATGCATGTCAAGAAATCCGAAAAATGTAATATATTAAGTGTGATTTATGTTTAGATCTAAAATTCTTACTTTTGTATGTAATAAAATATCTTAAAATGTGAAGAAAAACGATAACAACTTATTCTATGAAACGATATTTTTTTTTTATAAAATGGAATTCATATAGAGATCTTTTTTGTTCTTTTAAGTATTTACTTACATTTGATTATATATTTTTACTTCAAGTAAAGTTTAAAGTGTTCGTCGTCTAACTTGCTTTTAGATTTTGTTGTATTCATATATGTTTTAACGACTGTATTTTGACAGGCTGACTATGAAATGAGGCAGCTCTTAGAATCTATACAAGGTATCAACTTGGCACAAAGCAGTGGCGGCAGACATTTTGAATCCCACGTGTTCTTTGATGGTGCCGTCAAAGACAAGAACCCGACAGACTTCGTATTGCAGCTTGTGTCATTAGTAGAAACGACATTAGGTAACACATTAGTAGAAACGACATTAGGTAACACAATAGTAGAAACGACATTAGGTAACACAAAAGTAGAAACGACATTAGGTAACACATTAGTAGAGACGACATTAGGTAACACATTAGTAGAAACGACATTAGGTAACACAATAGTAGAGACGACATCAGGTAACACATTAGTAGAAACGACATTAGGTAACACAATAGTAGAAACGACATTAGGTAACACATTAGTAGAAACGACATTAGGTAACACATTAGTAGAAACGACATTAGGTAACACATTAGTAGAAACGACATTAGGTAACACATTAGTAGAAACGACATTAGGTAACACAAAAGTAGAAACGACATTAGGTAACACATTAGTAGAGACGACATTAGGCAACACATTAGTAGAGACGACATTAGGTAACACAATAGTAGAAACGACATAAGGTAACACAAAAGTAGAAACGACATTAGGTAACACAATAGTAGAAACGACATTAGGTAACACAATAGTAGAAACGACATTAGGTAAAACATTAGTAGAAACAACATTCGGTAAAACATTAGTAGAAACAACATTAGGTAACACATTAGTAGAAACGACATTAGGTAACACATTAGTAGAGAAGACATTAGGTAACACATTAGTAGAAACGACATTAGGTAAAACATTAGTAGAAACAACATTCGGTAAAACATTAGTAGAAACGACATTAGGTAACACATAAGTAGAAACGACATTAGGTAACACATTAGTAGAGACGACATAAGGTAACACATTAGTAGAAACGACATTAGGTAACACAATAGTAGAAACGACATTAGGTAAAACATTAGTAGAAACAACATTCGGTAAAACATTAGTAGAAACGACATTAGGTAACACATTAGTAGAAACGACATTAGGTAACACAAAAGTAGAAACGACATTAGGTAACATAATAGTAGAAATGACATTATGTAACACAATAGTAGAAACGACATTAGGTAACACAATAGTAGAAACGAGATTAGGTAACACATTAGTAGAAACGACATTAGGTAACACATAAGTAGAAACGACATTAGGTAACATAATAGTAGAAATTACATTATGTAACACAATAGTAGAAATGACATTAGGTAACACAATAGTAGAAACGACATTAGGTAACACAATAGTAGAAATGACATTAGGTAACGCATTAGTAGAAACGACATTAGGTAACACAATAGTAGAAACGACTTTATGTAACACAATAGTAGAAACGACATTAGGTAACACATTAGTAGAGACGACATTAGGTAACACATTAGTAGAAACGACATTAGGTAACACAATAGTAAAAAACGACATAAGGTAACATAATAGTAGAGACGACATTAGGTAACACAATAGTAGAAACGACATTAGGTAACATAATAGTAGAAATGACATTACGTAACAAAATAGTAGAAACGACATTAGGTAACATAATAGTAGAAATGACATTAGGTAACACATTAGTAGAAACGACACTACGTAACACATTAGTAGAAACGACATTAGGTAACACAATAGTAGAATCGACATTAGGTAACACAATAGTAGAAACGACATTAGGTAACATAATAGTAGAAACGACATTAGGTTACACATTAGTAGAGACGACATTAGGTAACACAATAGTAGAAACGACATTAGGTAACATAATAGTAGAGACGACATTAGGTAACATAATATTAGAAACGACATTAGGTAACATAATAGTAGAAATGACATTAGGTAACACATTAGTAGAGACGAAATTAGGTAACACAATAGTAGAGACGACATTAGGTAACACAATAGTAGAGACGACATTAGGTAACACAATAGTAGAGACGACATTAGGTAACACAATAGTAGAAACGACATTACGTAACACATTAGTAGAAATGACATTAGGTAACACATTAGTATAAACGACATTAGGTAACACATTAGTAGAGACGACATTAGGTAACACATTAGTAGAAACGACATTAGGTAACACAATAGTAGAAACGACATTAGGTAACACATTAGTAGAAACGACATTAGGTAACACAATAGTGGAAACGACATTAGTTAACATAATAGTAGAAACGACACTACGTAACACATTAGTAGAAACGACATTAGGTAACATAATAGTAGAAACGACACTACGTAACACAATAGTAGAAACGACATTAGGTAACACATTAGTAGAAACGACATTAGGTAACACAATAGTAGAAACGACATTAGGTAACACATTAGTAGATACGACATTACGTAACACATTAGTAGAGACGACATTAGTTAACACAAAAGTAGAAACGACATTAGGTAACACAAAAGTAGAAACGACATTACGTAACACATTAGTAGAGACGACATTAGTTAACACAAAAGTAGAAACGACATTAGGTAACACAATAGTAGAAACGACATTAGGTAACACATTAGTAGAAACGACATTAGGTAACTTTATAGTAGAAATGACATTAGGTAACACATTAGTAGAGACGACATTAGGTAACATAATAGTAGAAACGACATTAGGTAACACATTAGTAGAGACGACATTAGGTAACACAATAGTAGAGACGACATTAGGTAACACAATAGTAGAGACGACATTAGGTAACACAATAGTAGAAACGACATTAGGTAACACAATAGAAGAAACCACATTAGGTAACACATTAGTAGAGACGACATTAGGTAACACATTAGTAGAGACGACATTAGGTAACACATTAGTAGAGACGACATTAGGTAACACATTAGTAGAGACGACATTAGGTAACACAATAGTAGAAACGACATTAGGTAACACAATAGTAGAGACGACATTAGGTAACACAATAGTAGAGACGACATTAGGTAACACATTAGTAGAGACGACATTAGGTAACACAATAGTAGAGACGACATTAGGTAACAAATTAGTAGAGACGACATGAGGTAACACATTAGTAGAGACGACATGAGATAACACAATAGTAGAAACGACATTAGGTAACACAATAGTAGAAACGACATTAGGTAACACAATAGTAGAAACGACATTAGGTAACACAATAGTAGAAACGACATTAGGTAACACATTAGTAGAAACGACATTAGGTAACACATTAGTAGAGACAACATTAGGTAACACATTAGTAGAAACGACATTAAGTAACACATTAGTAGAGGCAACATTAGGTAACACATTAGTAGAAACGACATTCGGTAAAACATTAGTAGAAACGACATTAGGTAACACATTAGTAGAGACGGCATTAGGTAACACATTCATCCCTAGCAAAATGATCCCTCTAGAAAACTGACATAATAGCAAAGTTGCCAATTTTGGTAGGATTTTCATACATTTGAACTGTCTTAGAAATACACTGGCAAACTTTTAAAAATCGCCAATGTACTTAAACACGGAAGCGGAACTTGTTTAATTTATATGTTAAAATTTAAGTTCCTTCGGTCCTTGGAGAATAAAGTTTTTTTCTGTTAGTTTGAGACTAGCAAGTTGTAATAACATCTCAGGTTGTTAAAGAAAACAAAATTCTCCCTATTATAATAACACAGCTTGTGTCTTTCGGTTCCAAACCAAACTATTATATAACCTTTTCATTCACAATGAGCAAGGCGGGGTCATGGTCTGATTCCCGAGTGCCTGTGGTAGAAGTTGCGAAATATTACGATGGCCCTAACAAAACACCGTAGTATGTATGTAATTTAGCCAAGTCAGTATAAGTACTTAACGCTAAAATATTATCAAATTTTACATTGTTTACTTTATCATATATCTTATTTATTTAACCTTCAAATATAACCTTTCATAAAAATATGATAATTTCAAGGGCCGATCTATTTACCAAAATCTGATAGACCTGATAAGTTGATTCTAAATATAGATCATTATGTAAAATTTACTGCTAAAATTTGATGTATCTTTTCTGTACTTTCTATATAATTATGTTGTATTGTAGATGTAAAAGCTGAGGCTTGCAGCAAGACATTGACACCCTATGGGATGACGTTAACGTGGAGGTTAAAAGCTGATCCAGGTCAAACTGGAATGATTTTCAAGATTCACCTGAAAGATAATTTTAAAGTGAGATTGAGCTGTTTATCTTAACCTTAGCCCTACTATATACTTCTATTATAATCGAGTATGTCGATGTAATGACCCCCGGTGAAAAATGGTCGATGAAACATTTTTCAACGGATTACATGTATTGATCAGTTTACAATGTTGAAAATTGACCCATATCTGTTTAATTATGACCCACCCACATGCTAAAAACTTATCAACTATAGACATGCAATATTTCGACGTTGAAAACCGATCACTATAATTCTGCACAATAAGTCTATGACCGGCTATTCATATGGTCATACAGATGAAAAATAAGAGCGCGTTACAATCTCATTGCACTTCTTATTATTTGTCATGCGTTTACCTAATGCTTGTCGACAAAATTGAGTCTTCAGTATACAGTGTAATATGAGGTGATTATATACATTGTTAAGTACAATACTGAATTATATTGGACAAGTAACAGTTGTCCGAGTTGCGATTGATATAGGTTTTGCAGTTGTGTATAAGTCCAATAGAATCAGTATTGTTTTCAACAAAATATAACGACCTCTTTATTTCACACCACCATTTTAGTTTACATTTCGACAGAACTTTGATAAAGATTTGATATAAATTTGGATACGATATGCATTTGATATGGGTTTTATGGACTCTGGAAATGAAAAAGGGGCTAAATTGATAAGATTAGATCCAATAATAATTTCTGTCGGAACATCACATGGTACAAACACCGAAACTTAATATGTTATATTTTATAAGATGTAAAATGACAACTAAACATTTTCTAGGCTAAAGACAAAATAAGAATATGGCACCGGATATGTTAGGATATTTGTAGGCATACCTCAATATACGATTTTTTATATAGAAATTTTACTAAACATTTCTTTCCGTCGGCTGTAAAACTGTAAAGGATTTACAATAAGAAATCCGTTGAAGCGTATTCCTCGATCAGATTTTTCAAAATGACAAAGTAGCGATTCTTGTTTTGAAGTATTTCACAATATGAAGGAAACCTATATTAAACTTGAGACAGGGACATGTCTTTTACTATCTATAATTTGTTTTGATTTGTTTCTTATAACTTTTATAACCTAAATAAAATCATCATCTGTGGTTTAACTTCTTTAGGTAAAGAATAAAAAGAGGTGGAGCCAAGTTATGTACATGTCCTATGTTTTGGACTTTCTTATGGGTCAAATGGATGATGGTAAGATAGCGTCACTTTTTTCCCGTTTTTTGTTTTGTTTAAACCCTCAACATAACCCACTTGTTTTGCTGTATTTATTGTTATTGTCGGACTGCTGTAAAGTGTTATTTTACTTTTTGTTTTGTATGTGTTGAGAATATTTGAGACACCAAGTTAGAAATGACAAAAGTAGTCGTTGTGATAACATATGTAACTAAGAGTCGTTTATATATTTACTTCATTTTGATATGTCCAAATCTGACTATAACCTGTATTCCATGCCAAGTATAAAAACTCAGAGTTTAATCATTTATTCATATATTTACATCCGGTATGAACATAGTTTACTATATGGCAGATTGAATGTCATGTACATGTATTTGCATCTTAAAGCGACTGACGAAGAATCATATATACTAACAACTGACGCTGATGTTAGATTCACACCTGATTCTGTGGAGGCGTTACTCGACTTAATGACACGTGACCGTAGTGTAGGCGCGGTGTGTGCAAGGACACACCCACTAGGAAGCGGTCCTCTAGTCTGGTATCAAGTTTTCGAGTATGCTATTGGTCATTGGTTTCAAAAGGTACACTTATAAGCAGATATACAATTCTGTACTATCATTTCACCTGTCTTAATATGTATTTATTTATAATAAGAATACTTAACAATATTTCATCACATAAACTTGTAATAAAACGCCACATGGAATATAAAGTATATAGTTCTCAGATACATTGAAGTGTGGATTTATACCATTGGACACCAGACATTATTACCTCATTTGTTTCCCATTGTTAATTTCCCATAGGCCAATGGGAGTTATTCTTATTGTTCATTCAAGTATTTTCTTCGGGATAATATTTTTACTGTTACAAACCCATATATTCTGTCTCTTTAAACGAGGTCAACTAAATACAATTTTCCCCTCTATGCTTATATTGCATTATTGATTGCTTATAGTTATTAGCATGTTAAAGTAACGAGATTATGTATAAGTCATCTATTTTTAATACGCAAATTTGTTCTTTGTTCAGGCAGCGGAACACGTGCTCGGGTCAGTGCTGTGTTCACCGGGATGTTTCAGTGTTTACAGATGTAAGGCAGTGAAGGATATCCTACCTCAATATGCTTCTAACGTAGAACACGCCTTCGACTTTCTCACCAAAGATATGGGTGAAGATAGATGGTTCTGTACGCTGATGGTATGTGTGCTTTAAATAATATTTTGTTAAGCACTTAAGAATTTTGGTGTTATGCTTTGTTGATTTTCGAAGATTTACGTGACGTGGTCTGGTCACCCATAATTATTTCATATCAAGTTGTGATATGGCAGGAAAATAGTCTGATGTGCTTGGTAAATGTCCATGTCGATTATAAACATGTTAACTTATCTAAATTTACGTGTTTCGTACAAACTTATTATTTATTTTTTATTTACCTCAGAAATCTAAGTAAAGATGTAATGTCAGATTTATTGGTTCACAATTTCGATGTTAAATGTCTTATAAAAACTTTATATTATAAAAAATTCTGTCACCAACACTGGATATTAATACATGTTTCACTTTATTTACTTAATCAGTTGATATGATAAATAACAAAAGAAAATGACGTAAAAATACCAAACAGCTTCTACGTTAAGAGACGCCATATTTGACGTGAAAAAGAAACGTTATAAATAGAATAAAGCGTCTACTGAGTATAACTGTTCTATAAATTAATATATGTATATAAGATTAACTCAAAAGATATATGCATTTTCATAGAAGGCTCGTAAATAAAGAAAAGGACAGTTTCTTATATGAAAGTTTATAATTTCGAAAAATGTTTTAATCACATATGTAAAACATATTTATCTGAAATTGCATAAAGGGGGATACTAATTGAGAAAAATCGCTATCATTAAGTATATCTTATAAATGTAATAAAGTATATATACAATTTATACATTTTATAGATATATAATCACTGTATCTAAATTTTATTCACTAAAGTATACATGTAGTTCCTATGGCCATTTATTCAACTTTAACTTAGTAAACTGAAGTTACTGAAGTGAAAGTATTTTGTCTGTTACAATTATTCAAATTTAAGAATCTTAATTAAGGGTTTTTTTTTATTTATTCGAAACTAACAGACTAAAATTTCTCATTGTCTCAGGTTCAGAGCGGATGGCGGATAGAATATTGTGCCGCGTCAGAAAATAGTACCCATTGTCCTGAAGAGTTTGACGAGTTCTTCAAGCAAAGGCGACGTTGGGTCGCATCAACTATAGCTAATCTAATGCTTTTAGTCAAAGAATGGCATATCAGTATGTATACAATCTCTCTTTAAGATGAAAATACATCCATTGAAGAACAATATTCATTTAAAATTTCTCTTTTATTAGTGCGCAAGAATACTATAAATTGACTCATTATAAAAAAAACTTAAAGAAAGATTAGGGGAGTGTTATTGATAATGATATTTGATAATGCCAGTGAAATTTAAATGTTACTATTGATTTTAGCAAAACGGCCTAATTTGCATAAATAGTTTTCACTGTACAAGCAAAACTATAAACAAAATGACATCTCTTACAAAAACACTTGGCATCAGTCAGTACGCAATAATCGTCCTTTGTTGTCTCTTTGTTAATACCCATAATATATTACCATAGCTTATCATAAAGCCGAAATATATGTACCATAATGCTTTATTTCTTTTAATTTCTTTTTTTCTTTTTTCTTTTATTTCAGTTGCAAAACTAAATCACCGTGTCTCATTTGTATTTTTGATATATCAAGCTATATTGTTGTTTGCCACACTGATAGGACCAAGTTCTGTCATTTTAGTAGTCTCAGGTAAGTTAAATCCCGGTAAACATTTATGTCATAATTCAAACATATAGTTATTGTACTGCGCACTTAATATAAACGAATACGTCTTCACTGTACATTATATACATGTAAAATATATACGTATTTCAAAGAACCAAAATCAATAAAATTAATCACTGAAAAATAATCACAAATTATGCTGATGTTTCAGCCGTAATATTTCAAATAACAAAATGTTATGAAAAACTATTGAATACTTCAATTGGGCTAGTTACATTATTACTTTTTACCACATATATGAACTGCCAAAATTGATTAAGTAATACAAAATTATGGGATGTCACACATGATTACAAAACCATATGATGCACAAGAAAACAATGCCATGTTATTCCACACAAGTTAACAAAACCATGGGATATCACACAAGATAACAAACTATGTGATGTCGCATAAGGTAACAAAACTATGTGATGTCACACAAGGTACCAAAACCATGTGCTATCACACAAGATAATAAAACTATGTGATATCACACATGATAACAAAACTATGTGATGTCAGACAAGATAACAAAACTATGTGATGTCAGACAAGATAGCAAAAAGATGTGAAGTCACACAAGATAACAAAACTATGTGATGTCAGACAAGATAACAAAACTATGTGATGTCAGACAAGATAACAAAACTGTGTGATGTCACAAACAATGTGATGTCACAAAAGATAGCAAAACTATTGAATGCCACACAGAATAACAACAATTGTGATGTCATACACAAGATAACAAAACCATGTGATGTCACACAATATTACAATACCATGTGATATCAATATAATTTAATGTCACACATGATAACAAAACTATGACATATCATGTTTCTATCCAGAATTTAATATGTTATATATAAAGTAATAGTGCTGATATCGTTTTCATAACTTTTTAAAAGTATTATTTTTTTGATGCACGTGCTTTTTCAATTGATTTCCTATGATTTCAGGTGGTTTGAAGTATGGCTGGAACTGGGGTTCTCTTACCTCTCTTCTTGTACAACTTTTCATGTGTGTTGGTTTCACTTTGGTTTGTCTGTTCACTTCATCAAATACACAGCTGAACGTAAGATATTCCACATGATTATCACGTGATTTACGTACTGCTAAACATTTAATTGCTTATTACGAAATAGATTTTGACCTGACTGTGTTGTTAGATATTCTTCAAACGAATGTGGAAAATAAACGATATATGGGCTGTGATAAATAAAATGATAGGTTTACACGTCATGTGACGGACGAGAATAAACCAAATTACGTCAGATTAATAACTATTTTCGCTGATGTAGTTCAACACATTGATTCCTTCAGCATATGACTGAAAATATGTACAATTAACGTTTTTGTTTGTTTTCATTCTTCTTACTTTTTTGTTTGTTTGTTTTGTTTATTTTTCAAAATATCATGAGGACATTTATTAATTTTATGTAGCTATTTCCAAAGTAAGTCGGGTCGTTTTTTGTTAAAACGATTAACCTAGACAAACAATTGTATTGATAGTTAAGGTTTATTTTGAAGCTAATTTGCCTTATTTATAGCTAGACGCTAATTAACATCTAACTAACTTCGTCGTTGACCTACTTTTGGTAGTTATACGTTTAATTTAATTTAATAAACGATTTTGAGAGTCTAGTTTATGGCTTCAGATTCAAGCACTCTCATTGGACGACAAAGTAGGGCAAAGACTAATAGTGGAGAAACAATACTTACATATATTTCAGGTTGCTAAGCTACTGACTTTTTTCTACGCTGTTATAATGACGGTAGTGGTGGTAGGAACTGCTGTACAGATATCTTCTGATTTTGACGGGAGTGAAACAGCCAAAGATAATTGTACGCTTGCTTTCTAATGACCAATATTATTACAACAATTCTTGTTATATTTGTCAGATGTAGAAAGAAAAGTTATACTGCTTTTACAGTGATATTTTTCTAACAAAGTCCGTATTAGAACAGTTTAACTTCCTGTAAAATATACAGGGAAGAACTGTATAAAGGAAAGATTTCCATTGGTCATTCTTAAATTACAAACTGATATCAGGGAATCTGATTGGTCAAGCTAAATTTAGTAAAAGAATATAAAGGACCTTTCTGAAACGTATACACGTCTAAATTCCCAAATAATCTAAGGGAGTTTCGGAAACAAGTTTCTAGTTAAATTTCTCGAATATTTATGCTTCCTCCCATTTAAACGTTTTACAACAGTGAACACTGCTTTTAGATATTCATTACTGGGATCCTACATATTACCGGACAAAATATGATGTTTTTCCGCTGTAACTTTTATTTAAAATAACGGAAAAGAATTGAATTTTACCCAAATAATTTTGGGTTCTTGATACACGTAAACATTCCTTTATCAAACATGAACTTAAATATTTGACCGTAGAAATGTGTCTTTAGAGTAGGGCATTATAAGAGGAAAAAATCGTGTAGACAACTCAATTTACCGGACATTGCGTTTCAATTTTTTTTAATTCCTGAATTGAAATTAATCTTTAAATAATCAGCAAGAAAACTACAACTATTGAAAGGCAAGGTTAAGATATTGAAAAAAACAGTATGTCACTCAAACAAGACACTGCAGTCATGCTTGTTACAAAGAGGCCAATATATGGGGTGTAATTGTAATTAACACTATTAACTCAATTAACGTATTGATTCTAAATGAATCTTAAACGTATGAAACATTTTGATATGTAAATGGAATTATGTTCTTTGTCATACAGTTCCCTTTTGTTCATCATGTAGCATGGTACAAAAGCCATAAAATCTATTTAATTTACATCTCATGTAGAGTTTCCTCCCATGGGCGTAACCCGTTTCCTTATATGTTTTATAATTTGCATTTCTTTGTAAAAGACAACAACGAGATACAGTTTTGAACTAAATTTAAAATTACTTTTTATCATTAGAATATGTTACGATTGTCTCCTGAGTTAACGTTGAGAAGAATTAACAGTAAAACCCATCTAGCATAACCCATTAAGGGCCATAATATTTGGGCATACGCAGAACAGATTATTTCCCCCCGCATGACCAGGTCATGGAATAACTAGTAAACAAAAGGGTATGTTAGTAAATAAAGAACTGAATCAACAATATTTGCCTGAGAGTGGTTTTGTTGTTATATACTTTGAAATAGAAAGTGCGTGTACGATTCAGACCGGATGATTTTTTAATCGAAACAAAAAATAAAGCCTTATTTCACAAGAATAAATTTTGTCCGGTAAACTGATTGTCCGGTAAATATGTAGGACCCCAGTAATTATGTTTAGCATAAGAATCTACCGACAGAATTTACCAGTAAAGTTATTTTTATAAAAAATTGGGACAGTCTTTATATTTTAGGCATATAGGCAGATTAATATTTTATCATAAACATTTCCAACATAAACTGCTGTTCAATCACCATTATATCAGTCAATCTCTTAATATTTTTATAGTAAATTCAGCACAACTCAACGTTGAAAAATTGAGCATAATGTCACTTTCACTTTGTACGAACAGTTTGTTATATATTCAACACTTCGAAATAACTAACCTATGCAAGTAAAAGCAAGATTACCTTGGGCGAGTATCTTTTTGAAGATACTTCTTGTTAATGATTAAACAATTCAGCGATTTTAATGAGAGCAGAATTTAAATTAAATGTATAAACCCCCTTAAAAAAAGCTTGATTAAAAATGTTTAACATACTGTATAATGAGTCCTCTGATGTAAAATAAACAACCATAAAAACCTCAATGTATTCCCTTTAACTAAACATATTTATTCTGTAATATCATATTTATATTTTTTCAGTCATTAGTAAAAAAAAAATAAACGGTATCTAAACAACTGTAAAACTTTTTGGTGTTATGGCGGGATATTTTTTCCGAAATCATGGGGTTTATATATGTAATATCACTAAGGGATCATTATGTTATATATGTAATATCACTATAGATCATGGGGGATGTATATCATGTAATATCACTGATAGATCATGGGGTATGTATATAATGTAATATCACTGATAGATCATGGGGTATGTATATCATGTAATATCACTGATAGATCATGGGGTATGTATATCATGTAATATCATCGATAGATAGATCTACCAATCAATTTCACCAATATATTATACCATGAGTTAATCATAATACTTATGTGAGACACCATCAAAAGCTTGATATTCACAACTATTTTTATCATAACATTGTCACAGTTATATCACGAAATGCTAAAACAATTTTGCCTGATATGAAATCATATGTTAAATGATTAGTATTGGCTGATATTTTTGTTTATTTATATCCTACTTTAATGATAACTGCCTAAAAGTATAATAAAAACATATGTATTAAATAACTAAACTATTAGATTATTTATATTTACAGGAACGCGAGAAATAAAGACACATTCTGTGCTGTCACAGAACCAAAACTGGCAAGAAACTTTGAAGAAAGCTTTCAAGTCGTTTTTCTTGTGAGTTCTTCGTTTAATTTGCATTAACCTGCAATGTCTGGAAAATATATTTTTGTATAATTTCGATGTTACCATGTTTACGAGAATTTAAATCTGGATTGCAAATCCGTATACTCATTTTAATGTAATTTTGAAATAAACAAAGATTAAGGTAGTGCAAAGAAATCCAAATGGATTAATAATGTAAATTAAGGTCTGACATCCTAAGAAAAGTTGCATAAGTATGTGTTCCTCATTTTCTTTCAGAAAAATGTGATATTTTTATATTACTCTCACTTATCTTATTGTTTTCAAAGATATTGAGACATTGACAAGTATTATTATTATTATTTAATTATCAGTAGATTTAGACTAGTATCAACCACATATACGCTTATTATATTCAATTAGAATACATGTAAATAATTACTAACATTTTTTGTGTGTGTTTATTTATACATGTACAATTAAAAAGGTCAGCTTTTCATAGAATAGAAACTCCTTTGATATCACTTATAGAATTATTTCAGGCACAAATTTGCATACAATTTACAATTAAGTTGAATAGTGTTTGTACATGAAAACATCAACAGTCCATGTAGGAAATGTAAATAAATACTTTATCACAGACAGACAGGCATCTCATTGAACCAAATGATATTTTAACAGTTGATAACTTACCCATTATTTACAACGTGACCGTTTTGTAAATTTACTGTTTTGGACGCCATAGGATCTTATAAAAACCTTTCTTAATGAACCGATAATGTTAAAAGTCTTTAAAGAAGAAAGTATCAGAATGATAAGAAAATTAACATTTAGTTTTCTTGATATATTTTGGAAAAGATAAATTTAACATTGTTTTGTACACTTCGCAAGATATACGTTTTGGACATGTCACGTTTCTCGCCCAAATATTTATAAATCTAGTACAATGTTTCAATTTTAGTTTAGCATTGTATATATCAAAAACTGCTAAAAAGTGCATTATTATTATTATTATTATTATTATTATTATTAAATTTACAGTTGCTGTTTCTCTAAGCCTGCCGATTCTAAATCAATTGCGATTCAAACAGAGACTGTACAAAAAGGTCGCGGGTCAAGGACATCGTCAATGTGCGAAGGTCAAAGTCAAGATGTCACCGTCTATGATTCCTCTGTAAATTCTACGGATGAAATCATCAGGTATATTGTCTTGTTAGGCCGCCGACATATCAGTCATAAAAACAAATGTTTGTGTATTTATCTTAAAATTCAATCATGTATCAGATAAAAAAAACTTGAGCAGTGTTTGGTTTAAAGTTGCTATATTCCATTATCCATTAAAATTGATAATGAAGTTAAGTTTTTGGCTAAATTCTTTTACAATTATGCCCGTCATGACTTACCAATGACGTCATAAATCACATAAACCACATGGTATGCTTGTAGTCATTTTCTTGCATAGCATACTGACGTTTCCGTTGTAAGTTGTAAGTTCATACGCTTTTGTAAGAAGATAGTTATGGATGAAATGACTTTAATTTCCATGAACATATATCATATTAAGGTAAACCATTTTATATATGAAATAAAATGGCAGAATATGAAGGAAAAAAATATATGACATATGTTTGCGGTTCGGATCGGAATATCCGTCCCTCGGCAAGCCTCGTTACCGCCCAATGGGTGGGTCCCATCGGGACGGATATTCCGGTCCGAACCGCAACATATGTCGGATATTATTATTCTTGCATAGCAGACTGCCGTTTACGTGAGTTTTACCCATGCCGGAAATTTCATCTGGCATGGGGGGGGGGGGGCAGATGAGTATTATTAAGTCATAATACCAATTTCCGACGGTCAAGCGTTTTTTTGGTCTCTTTTATTTTTCTTTAACCATTACCCTCATGAGCTTATTGTGAAAAATGGCCGTTTTGATTGAAATGCCTCCTGTAACAAGTTCAAACTGCTATGAAACTAATGAAAAATGTTTCAATACTAATCAAACTTGGCACAAATGTTGACTGGACCATTGCCTTTAGTTACCATTGCAACGAGGGGGCATCTCAAAATTGCCAAAAATCACTATTTTACGTTGATTTTTTCTATCAAAATTGATTTCAAAGTGCTGCAACTTCTCAATGGATTGAAATAGAGTCTAAGGCTTTCAACGTTGGTTACACATTACCTTATGATCGACCTGGTGTCATTTTTAGCCTCTCACAAGTCCAAAATTTTGTTGGCGATGAGGGGACTACCGCCTCCCTTCAACCCCCACCCACAAACAGAAGGGGGCACATTCCCCTTCTGGCAACCCTGTGATGTACCTTTTTGATAGGGGGCGGCGCCGAAAATGTGATCACTTTTTAAGCAACATTTCCCAAACGAAAAACAGTGTTTGAGGGCCTAAATAAGGTAAAAATTCACTGTGTGAGGCCTCAAAAAAAAGGGGGGGTCGAAGAGCCGTCAAAACGCGTCTATAATTATGAAGTAAATGGTTAAATCAGTGTCGGAAAATCCATAACAAATCGGTCCGGCTTAATTTAAACAACATTAACCCATTTGATGTGTATTGAAAGTCTGTCCACTTGTTTTAAATGCGCACAATATCAGTTTATATTTTATATTTTCATTACAGAACCGTAAGCACGGATATTAACAACCTCGGAATAATAGAAGAGGAAGTTGGCGAAAGAACATTCCGATCGTGTATGTATCTGTTTGTACTTTTTATATTTGATTTGATTGTACCTATATATGATATGATTGTACCTATACATGAAATTATTATAGCTATATATGATATGATTGTAGCTATACATGATATGAGTGTAGCTATATTTGATACGATTGTAGCTATATTTGATATAATTGTAGCTTTATATGTTACATGTATGATTGTAGCTATATGTGTTAAGATTATAGCTATACATTTTGTGATTTGGCTACAATTGATACGATTGTAGCTATATATGATATACTTGTAGCTATTTATGATATAATTGTAGCAATATGTAATATAATTGTAACTATTTATGATATGATTGTAGCTATATATGATATGATTGTAGCTATATTTAATATGATTGTTGCTATACATGATATAATTTTAGCTATATATGATATGATTATTGCTATATATGATATAATTGTAGATATTTATCATACGACTGTAGCTATATATGATATAATTGTAGCTATTTATGATTTAATTGTAGCTATATATGATATTATTGTAGATATTTATGATACGATTGTAGCTATATATGATATAATTGTAGATATTTATGATTTAATTGAAGCTATATATGATATAATTGTAGCTATATATGATATGATTGTAGCTATATATGATACGATTGTAGCTATTTATGATATAATTGTAGCTATTTATGATTTAATTATAGCTATATATGATATGATTGTAGCTATATATGATATGACTGTAGCTATATATGATATAATTGTAGCTATATATGATAGGATTGTAGCTATTTATGATATGATATGATTTTAGCTATATATATTATAATCGTAGATACTATATATGACATGATTTTTGTTATTTATGATATGATTGTAGCTTTATTTGATATAATTGCAGCTATATTTGATATGATTGTTGCTATACATGATATGATTTTAGCTATATATGATATGATTGTTGCTATATATGATATAATTGTAGATATTTATGATACGACTGTAGCTATATATGATATAATTGTAGCTATTTATGATTTAATTGTAGCTATATATGATATGATTGTAGCTATATATGATATGACTGTAGCTATATATGATATAATTGTAGCTATATATGATATGATTGTAGCTATTTATGATATGATATGATTTTAGCTATGTATATTATAATCGTAGATACTATGTATGACATGATTTTTGTTATTTATGATATGATTGTAGCTTTATTTGATATAATTGCAGCTATGTAAGGCCACATGTGTCACAAATCACATTCGTCACAATTGTGAAGAATGAGATCACATTCGTCACAAATTTTGTGATGCATGTGATCCAATGTTTTAGACAATCACATTCGTCACGAGTTTAAAATCACAAATGTCACAAATTTGAGATAAATATTGTTTTCTTCAATGCTTTTCACTGAGTCACAAACGTCACAAATTTTTAGGACTGAAATCAATTATTGGAACTAAAACTACAGACATTTTTATCCCCTCCCCCGCTGATGAAATCGGGAGTGATGGGACTGTTTTAGCGTGTTCGTCCGCCTGTCAGTCCAGATTTAGTTTCCGCACTATCCGGCCATTGATTAGTTATTATACACTGTATATGGAATCATTTCGTTTCCACGCTATTTTTCAGCAACTTCTGGATGGATATCGATGCTGCAACTTTGTAGGAACCTTCATTCACAAACCAGTTGCACATATAACCAGCATATCTCCATTTCTTTTTAAAAACAGACTTATTGCCCCTTGTTGTTGTTGTTATTTATAAAACACTGTATATAGAACTATTGCTTTTCTGCGCTCTAGGAATTTCAACGAAATTTAGTTTAATATAAAGAGGAGATGCGCATCTCGAAAAATCTCGACGGGACACTAAAGGATTTGGTCCGACTTGAGGGTACGGTCGCTTATATGGGCTTTCCGGCGGCGACTTTAGATAAACACATAAACAAACAAACAAGATGTGCATATCATCATCATCATCATCATCATCATCATCAGTATTTCCCGTTTGGCCGTTTAATACAGAGTTATGATCCATAATTTATTATCATTTATTGTTCATAGAAAAGCATTAATTCAACCCTATTCTTCAACAAATCTGCTGAATAATTTAAACAAAACTATGTGGGTACATCTAATACCAAGCGGAGATGTGTATATTGACGGCACTTACCCGAAGTTAAGACCCCTGGTTGCTTAATATTCAGTCAGATAACTTAAGTATTTCATGTCTTCAAATGTTAAATATATCTAATTTTAATTGTGTGGGAACCTTCAATACAAAAAGGGCATGTGCATTATCGCCGTGACCTTGAGTGATATGGGCCCTGATAATTTATGCTTTAACCGACTATTTCCCCGGAGTCTTTATTCGAAATGTATCCTGCAATTGTTTAATTTTCAATCAGTATATGATGCTGTCGGCGGTAAACATTAATTCAGCGAATTTGCTTGCAAGATATTTGAATGACCTCGTGTAATTATAGCTTCGCAAGACCAATCATATTCTACAAGAAATGTTAAGTTTTCTTTAAGTTTATTTATTCAACTTCCTTCATGATTCTCATTTAACCCTTTCCTTTATAGATATTACTGGTAAAATAACTATATGAACCGCGCCATATTGAACCCTAGATGAGCCGTCAGTACTAAAGAACTCTGATATAATATAGGAATAACGCATGTTTCTTTTTTCGTGTTAAAATATCTGTAGAAACCCAAGGGATTAGTTGGTACCCGACCCAACGTATCCCGAGGGTTTCAGCAGTTGTTATGACACGGAACAATCATTCGTTAACGCTATTCTAGCATAAAGCATGCATAAATCTAACACAATCCATACACAATCAAGCAACATCACTGATTTTCCTCGGATTGCACGGGAACGTCAGCGTTGTATGTGACCGTGACGTCATTTCCGTTTTAGTTAAGCAGCGTCCGGGCCACAATGTATTGACGCTGTGCCACGGAAAACGTATATCAAAAAGGTGTTTTAACAGCGCATGAGCGCTAGAATCTCCTTGTTAAAAGACCTTTTTGGTCCTGTTAAAACACCCCGAAATCATGGTTATAACGGCAGTTTTATGCTAGAATATAAAGTAATGAATAACAACATGGATTCCAAGAAGACTAAAAGCAAACTCACATTGCACAATACTAGCCGCAATTTATAATACTGCTAATAAAGTTCACGAATTTTCATTGGTTTAGAGGCGGGATATATTTATAGGTTATTACAGAGGTCTGATGTGCCTTTATTCGATTTTGGCCCACTAAAAGAGCCCGAGGGCTAATACCGATCTTGTAGACCCATATCGCATTAAGGCACACCAGACCTGTTTCTATAACCTTTTTATTGCATGTGCTCATTTATGTTTTGGTTTTCATTATAGAATTAAAAAAATCGTTTGAAAACATTGTTCAGCGACAATGTATAATTTATTTTAAAAAGCGAGGGACTTTTGACGTCGTCTAATGACGTTGACGTCATTTCCTCACAAACATTTGTTTTTAATATATTTTGGCGTTATTTAACTGTTTGGAGATTGTTTTTCAAGTGTTTCTTCAATTTTGCTTTTTTATCAAGATATATTTCAGTTAAACGTATTTTTTCTTATAAAATTGTCAATCTTTCCGCGTTTTTTTAGCAACCCGAAGTGGGAAATCGATATCGGCCCAACCGGAAGTCGGACCGATATCGATATTTGGCGCATCACGTCACCTGACCACAGTCATATTACATGGACAAAACTCATATACGTTTAAATTCACATTTTTTTTCTATTTATAGTGTTTGCCGTTGCGTATTTATAGGTTATTACACAGGTCTAGTGTGTCTGAATGCAATATTGGCCAAGAAGAGGTATTGGCCCGAGGGCTTTAGCGGTCTCGTAGGCCAATATAGAGGATATTACATGAGTGTCTTTTCATATTGAATTTATTAAACGAGTTGGATAAAATAATAAATTGCGAGGCTCTGCCGAGCATTTTATTATTTTATTCATATCACAGGTTAAATTTTGGAGCCGATAAACCGAAAAATTGTTGTTATTTTGCCTTATAAACGCGGTAAAATCAAGCGACGTCCGCTAACGTTAAATGACGTCGACGTCAAAACGATATTATACTAGTTTATTGCATTTGTTACTATAAATAGTAACAAAAATGCTAAGGAAGTGTGCTGATATTGCCCAAAGAGTGCCGATATAAGCATGCATTGAGCAAGTGTGCCAGATATCGGCACACTTGCTAGTGTGCCAAAAATCCATATCATGACGTCACGTCCGGTTGACGTAAACAAGTTTTGACGTTGGAGCGCTCAAGATATAACTTATAGTTAACTTATCAGCATAACACGCAACAGGATAGATAAAGATTAAATTTCTGCACATTTTTATATGATTTTATAGAAATTTAATGAGCAGATATTTAAAATACAAATGTTTGTGGCGAACGGAAAATGTGAAGAAAATAGACACGATTTGTTAGAAAACAGTATGGAGATAAAACATTAAACTTTGTTTAGAAGAATAACATAATTGAGTGTCTACATATGCAATAAAAAGGTTATGATACAGGGCAAGTGTGCCTGAAGGAAGATATCGGCACACTTGGTCCGCATTGGCCCTCGGGCTAAAGCCCTCGGGCCAATACCTAACCAAGTGTGCCGATATCTTCCTTCAGGCACACTTGCCCTGTATAATAACCTCTAAGTAATATGGAAAATATGTAATGGCTTTATTACACTCCCGCGACGTCAAACATGTGATAAATCGCATTTAGGCACACCAGACCTGTTCTATAACCTTTTTATTGCTAATTTATGTTTTGCTTTTCATTTTCAATATAGGGATAACGCATGTTTTTTCGTGTTATAACATCCAAATACGAGACACATAATACCGAGTTTCATGTGAATATCTTTAGATACTAGTTACAGAAAAAACTCAACACAGAGGTTAATAATTGGAAAAATTGGGTAATGTTATG